TTTTAAAAGTGAGTTTTTTTGTTGTTGTTTGTTTGTTTGTTTGTTTGTTTTGATATCTTGATTACACGATTCCATTATCTTTTGGAAATTATTTACTTAAATAAACTGACTATTAAATGTGAAACGTTGTTTTAATAGTATGCAGCGCGTTTAATATATGCAGCATGTTTCTTCAGTTGTTTAAGTTGTGACAAAACGCAGAGTGATTCAAAATAAAATAATGCTCTGTCAGCAGTTAGTAACCTAGATGTGCCTAAAGGGTTAAATCCATAGACATATATAATAAATAATAGGGATAAAACAGTTCAATTGCATCACACACTAAATTTCAGTACATTCATACCTCTTCTAAGCCAGATTGCAATGAAGTCATGTGAATTGACTTTTGCAGCATAGCACGAGCTTCATTAATTGTTATTTGTATTTTTAGGTTTTTAAATATTCTTAAAAACAGAATTTGTGCTGTTCAATACATGCACTCTAGGGATGTACGTCCCTCCCAATATCAAGAGCAAATCTACACCCTTGACTTTTACTGTCCAAGGCCTTCCACATGACATAAGAAAAGGAGAATCATTGGACCAGATGACTTTGTTTGTTCCACTGTTCCAAGCGTTTTTCGATGGTGAACAAGGTAATGCCATAAGCAGCCTTGTGCAATACACTGTGTGTTGTGATACATTCATTTTACTAGAATAGATCTTATATCATTGTCACAATGATTTTTTTAAAAAGTGCTCTCCAGTCTGTACAACAATCATTTTATCTATAAAAAGTGTAAAAATTATTAAAATAAATGATGTGAGAATAAATATATCTATGACGGATGTAGACTCTCATAAACATGACCTACATATTGCATTGAGTCTACTGTTTTTAGCAGCATCAAGAATGATAATTGCAGTTGGATAACAACTGTATTTGAATCTGGCCAATAATCCTAATATAAATGGTGTGTGTTGAACCCAATGGGATTGGTTTTGTAGCCTTTGTGTTTCAGTAAGTCTGGAGTTCCCTTCACCCTGTTGCCGCTTTGTGGTTTGTCCTTTTTTTGACCCAGGAGCTACACAGAAGTGCACTTGGCATTTCAGAAATATCTTAACCAGCATTTTGTGCAAGCCTGTGGCCCTTGTCAAATGGTTCCTCAAATTATTATCCATGCCCATGTGGTTGCAAGAATTTACTTATTCAGGCTATGTTCACACATACAGTGTACCCGGAAAGTATTCATAGCGCTTCACTTTTTCCACTTTTTTATGTTACAGTACTATTCCAAAATGGATTAAATTAATTTATTTCCTCAAAGTTCTACACACAATACCACATAATGACAATGAAATTGTGGCACATTTATTAAAAATAAAAGACCTGAGAAATCACATGTACATCAGTATTCACAGCCTTTGCTGTGAAGCTCTAAATTGAGCTCAGGTACGTTCTGTTTCCACTGATCATTCTTGAGATGTTTCAACAGCTTAATTGGAGTTCACCTGTGGTAAATTTAGCTGATTGGACATGATTTGAAAAGGTATACACCTGTCTATATAAGGGTTGACAGTGCATGTCAAAGCACAAACCAAGCATGAAGACAAAGGCATTGTCTGTAGACCTCTGAGACAGGATTGTCTAAAGGCACAAGTGGTGGAAGATTACAGAAACATTTTTGCTGCTCTGAAAGTTCAAATGAGCACAGCGGCCTCCATCATCCATTAGTGGAAGGTGTTTGGAATCACCAGGACTCCTCCTAGATCTGAGTGATTGGGGGAGAAGGGCCTTAGTCAGGGAGGTGATCAATAACCTGATGGTCACTCAGTCTGAGCTCCAACGTTCTACTGCAGAGAGAGGAAACCTTACAGAAGGACAATGATCTGTGCAGCAATCCACCAATCAGGCCTGTATTGTAGAGTGGCCAGACGGAAGCCACTCTCTGCCTGGAATTTGCCAAAAGGCATTTGAAGGACTCTCAGACCATAAGAAACTAAATTCTCTGGTCTGATGAGACTAAAACTGAACTCTTTGGAGTGAATGCCATGGCATTACATCTGGAGAAAACCAGGCACCGCTCATCACCAGGCTAATACCATCTCTATAATGAAGCATGGTGGTGGCAGCATCCTGCTGTGGGGATGTTTTTCAGCAGCAGGAACTGGAAGACTAGTCAGGATAGAGGGAAAGATGAAAGCAGCAATGTACAGAGACATCCTGAATGAAAACCTGCTTCAAAGTGCTCTTGACCTCAGACTGGGGCGACGGTTCATCTTCCAGCAAGACAATGACCCAAAGCACACTGCCAAAATATCAATGGGGTGGCTTCACAACAACTCGGTGAATGTCCTTGAGTGGCTCAGCCAGAGCCCAGACCTAATTTCTATTGAACATCTCTGGAGAGATCTGATGGCTGTACATCGTCACTTCCCATCCAACCTGATAGAGCTTGAGAGGCACTGCAAAGAGGAATGGACAAAAATCCCCAAAGACAGGTGTGCCAACCTTGAATTCAAAAATAGACTTGAGGCTGTAATTGCAGCCAAAGGTGCATCAACAAAGTATTGAGATGTAGATCTGGCTACATAATTTACGCTCTCCAGAAATAAATACCCAGGTACGTTTTTAAATGAGCCTGTGTTGGATTCATCAGGGGTCACCACAACAGAATGAACCACTAATTACTCTTGGCATCTTTTGCTTTATGTGGCGGATTCCCTTCCAGCTGCAGCCCAGCACTACTTCGTCAACCTCTAGTGCTGGGAAACACCCACACACTCTCTCATTTACACTTACTCACATACTATGGCCAAATTAACATCCAATTTGCATGTCTTTGGACTGTGGGGAAAACTGGAGCACCCATTGGAAACCCATGAACATGCAAACTACACACAGACATGGTTCCTGGCCCAACAGGAACTCAAACCAGCAACATTCTTGCTGTACGGAGACAGTGCTAACTAATAAGCCACCGTGCCACTCTTACAAGAAATGACTGTTTGCTTATATTATAATAAAAAGACATTTGCTTCACCTGTGACTGATCAAAACATTTTGAGTCATCAACATTTGTCTCTAATTTATCAGTATGAACAATATTACAATCTAACATGCAGTGAATCGAGCTGAGGAAGGGTGGGTTTGATGACGAAGTCTTAAAAGGAAGTTTGGTCAAGATCATAGATTATCAATTGCAGGTGCATGAGATGATGCAAGATTGTTTCGAGATGCGCATGAGAATACCTCGAATAAAGTACGTCGAATAGAAAGGTCATGCACTTCTTCTTATTTCCCCTTTCTTATAATTTCGAAGAGCACAAGTGGTCTGATAATACACGCTTCCTCCATGTGGAAGTTTCCCTGCTGATGTTTTGTGAAAATGAGCCACAATGGATGCTGTTCACTGCCACGATTCTTCTTTTGTGGTTATGCAACATAAACTGCAATTGTCATAGTTGCGCAGTTGCTTTCATTGAAAACAGGGGTTTGCCCACGCTGTCAGTGTGTTGTAACTCCATGGATGCAACAATAGTGACGATAAATGTAGGTGTTATTGGTTTATTTACACATTTGCTTCACTCAACTAAACAAGGTTTGAATTTCAGCACACACATATAAACACAAAGAGCTTGTGAGATTGTATACATTAGTCCAGGGCATGAATCTGGCCTAAGGCTTCGCTCATATTATAAGAAAATACTCAAACGATGAGAGTGTTCTGAAGGGCATGCAGAGAGAAAGAAGAAAAGAGGAAGTGGCACAGGAAGTGTAGAAGAGTTGAAGCGATAAAGTGACATTTGATACTGGATTACTGAGATACGTAGAAAACGAATACGTTATAAATGCAATAATGGTTGTGACCTTTTTTTTGTTTGTTTTTGGATGTAGTACTGGGATGTTAGGATATACACAAGTGACGCACTAAAGAGAATCTGATATTGTGCTTAAAGAGATAGTTCACCCCAAAATGAAATCTTTGTGATCATTTTTTTCACCCTTCACTTGTTCATAATCCTATTTGAGTTTCGTCCACCTGTTGAAGACAAAAGGAGATATTTTGAAGAATGTTGGTTGATTTCATCAGTATTTTCTTCCTACTATGCAAGTCAATGGATACCATCAAATATCATTCTTCAAAATATCTCAATTTGCGTTCAACAGATAAAAGAAACTCATAAAGGCTTTAAAACCACATGAGGGAGAGTCAATTTTGAGGAGTAATTTTTATTGTTGGGTGAACTACCCCTTAAAGAATACAAAACAGAGGGCAAACTGCTCAAAGCCTCAACTTATCTAGATGTGTGGTGATTTTTTAACATTTATTAAATGACATTCATCCATATTCCTTCAGCTTACTTCCTTATTTATCAGGGGTTGCCACAGCGGAATGACCTGCCAACTATTCCAGCAGGTTTTAAACAGCCGATAACCTTTTAGCTGCAACCCAGTATTGGGGAAACACACATACACACTCATATACACACACACATATACACTAAGGCCAATTTAGTTAATCCAATTCACCTATAGCGCATGTCTTTGGGGACCCAGAGGAAACTCACAGGAAGAACATGCAAACTCCATGTAGAAATGCCAACTGGCCCAGCTGGGAGTCGAACCAGCGACCTTCTTGCTGTGAGGTAACAGTGCAAACCACTGAGCCACCGCTTTTATATGACATTTTAAGCAAAATATCCCTATAGGTTTTGTGTAAGCACTTGAAATCTTCATTTATAATAGTGTGCCTTTAAATAAGAGAGCATTATATATATATGCTAAGGGTTGTAGGTTTTCTATTAGCATTTATGCCTAGTGTTCTCATTTTCCTATTTCAGCTTTCCATGATTTAGTAGAATATACCTGAAATCAACACACAAATATCTTTATATAAGAGAGCAAAGAGCAGTATTCGATGGAGCACAAACAGCCAATCACACGCAGACAAGAGCATGCAGGCATTGTGCAGCTTAATGCCCATGTAATCTTCTCAGATTTCTGATGCTACTTTTACATTTTTTTGAAATGCTTATTATTGCGAATAAACAGGACTCGTCGGATATCTTTCAAGAGAAGGCTGTGATGAATTACTACGAATACAGAGAGGGAGAAGTACAAAAAAGATAGAGTGATGGGGCTACAGACATTAAGGATCAGAGGTAAAGTGTGTGATTTTCAAAGGGGTGTGGCTACCGAGATCAGCAGAGATGATCTCATTGGACATGGGTGGAGCAAAGTGATGAACAGCCTATGGGGTCTCGCAAATCACCGTCTCCACCACGAATGTGTTCTCGAAGTGACGGATTCGGTGACAGTTCTGCGCATCGCGCTTGCTGATACCTGGAAAAGTACAGAGATAACGTATAAATAATGGATACAAATTATTTTTCACTCAGAGATTGTTAGCAAAGTTCACAAATATCAGAAAGTATTGCAAAAGATTAGACCAGTCCACACCAGATTAGATTAGACCAGTCATAAGTGTACTTTTTAGAAAATTGAGATTTATACATCACATGACTACTCTTTCTAATGATGTTTGGTTTGTTAGGATACACTCTCAGAAATAAAAGTACTAAATCTGTCACCGGGGCGGAACCTTTTCAAAATATTTGTTCCTGACAGCTCCTTAAGTGAAGTTTATGTATAAACAAATTTCGAGAGGATCACGTGCTTATGATTGCTAGCGGCTGGATCCGCATTATCCAATTCACTACGCTCCAATCAGATGACTCCTAAACTACTATAAATACCCTGGGTTTCATTCCACTGCTATCTTCGTTTTGAAGAGTCCCCCCTTCCTCCCCTACTCCTCCTTATTAGACGGGTGACACGGTGGCCCAGTCGCCTTACAGCAAGAATGTCTCTGGTTCCTGGCTTTACGAAACTAGCAGACATTTCTGTGTGGAGTTTGCACTTCTCCCCGTGCTCATGTGGGTTTCCCCCGGGTTCCCCGGTTTCCTCCCACCGCCTAAAAACATGCAATTAAGTTAATTGAATAATCTAAATTGGCACCACAGATATGCTTCTAGTACGTAGTTATCTTTAAGAGCAATCCCTTACTGTTCATTGGCTACTACAGCAGGGAGTTCTCGAGATCTACCTGAGCTCAAATTCCCCTCCCGCCTTGCAACGGGAGGGAGCCCTGGGCTCGAGGATCTCATGAGCTCAGGGCTCTCTCCCGGGACAGCATGCCAAACAAGCTTTTATAATTATTCATCAGCTAAGTGTGAACTCTTGAAAGGTACATATTAATACAACTTTGTACAACTTTGTACAACTTTGTACCTCATAAATATATTTGAGGTACAAAAACTAACCTTAAAGGTACAAAAGTACACCCTAATGCTGAGTTTAGATTTTAGTCTCGATTTTGTCTCGTCGACAGGTTTTGAGAAATTGCTGACAAATGCCTGAACTCACAGGCAAATTGTTCACAAAAGTAACAATCACACAGTGTGAACCATCAAAGACGCCATCTGAGAGAATCGCCAATGAGTCGCCGGCACTCGTGAGAAATGTGTTCTGATTGAAAACAACATCAGTGACAACCTACAGCCAATGAGAGAGCAACATCCACTAGTAAAGGGATCTGTAGTAAAGGCTTTTCTCATTATGTAGTTAATAACAAAAGATATACTACATGACCTTGTGTTGTTTTCATGTCACTTCTCGCGTGTGTTTGGTTGTGAGACGTAGTTTGCGGACCGAGACAAAGGTGTCAGCAATTCTTTCTATTGTAAAGTCATGCAGTGTTGAATTCCTGTCACCAATCCATCTTGCAGTGTAAACAAAGCAGCGTGAAGTGCTACCCCAGATAGTCATGCAGTGTGAATCACCTCTGTGGCATGACTACTTTGAAAATAGTGCAGTCTGAACTCATAAAAGCATAAAGGTACCAATGTCCACCTACTGTACTAAAGTGTAACTCTTGAAAAAGTACCACCCCAGAAACAAATTTTGTACCTTTATCCGCTTGTTAAGTCGTGACGTATCGGTTACGTATGAAATACTGTTTCTGGGTCCAAGCCACGACTCTTTTGAATTGAGAAAATGCTTGTTTATGACTATACCTTTTAGTCATATCACACATTAAAGTGAATCTTATATAAAATCATCGTGTCTCAGGACTTGCTGCATCACAGACACCAATATTTTAACAATTTTTTAAAAAGTGAATCACTTTCTGGCCCTCTGATAATAGGCATGAATATATTGTGATCATGATGTTCAAAAGTAGTACATCGCTTTGTAATGTTTATTGAGAACATTTGTTGAGCCTCGCCATACAGTTTGATATGGCGCTTGTACCCAGAAGCCGCTTTGCATTACGTCACACTTAACAAGCGGATTTCTGAGTGTGTAGACCAATATTTGGCTGAGAATAAACTATTTAAGAATCTGATATCTGATAATTTAAAAAAATAAAACTAAATGGTAACACTTTACAATAAGGTTCATTAGTTAATGCATTTACTAACATGAACTAATCATGAACAACACATGTACAGCATTTATTAATCATAATTGAACATTTACTAATGCATTATTAACATTTAAGTCCATGCTTGTTAACATTAGTTAATGCACCATGAGTTAACATGAACTAACAATGAACTACTGTATTTACATTAACTAACGTTAACTAACATGAACAAATACAGTAGTAAATGTATTGTTCATTGTTTGTTCATGTTAGTAAATGCATTAATTAACATTAACTAATGAACCTTATTGTAAAGTGTGACCAACTAAATATTGAGAAAATCACCTTTAAATTGGTCAAAATTAAGTTTTATGGAATGCTTATTTCTCAAAAATTCAGTTTTGATATATTTATAAAAGTAAATTTCCTAAAATAATTGAATCAAGTAATCAGCAGGTAACACACTGAATTTTGAAGTAAAACAGCTGAAAACATATTTTTAAATGTACCACAATAATGTAAATATGAAATTAATATTTATAGAATGCATTTGTTTAGCGTATGGATTAGTGTACACAACATATAAAATACATTAAATGATCACAAAGATCTAACATTTTGAATATAGATTTGTCTTACACATTTTATCATTATATCAACTGCTTGGTACATTCATAAAAATACAGCACCCTTAATGTTTATGATTTTTGTAACCAATAAAGGCCACTTAATTGTAAATACTTTTAAATAAATATTTGTATTTGTTACACTGAAAAAAATTATTCATTGGATTTACAAAATTTTTTTAAGGTAAGTGGTTGCAAACAATTTATATGGGCTGAATTTAATTAATTAATTCAGCCATGTTCAACTTAATTTCCTTCATTTTCTAGTCGGCTTAGTCCCTTTAATAATCCGGGGTCGCCACAGCGAAATGAACCACCAACTTATCCAGCAAGTTTTTACGCAGCGGATGCCCTTTCAGCCGCAACCCATCTCTGGGAAACATCCACACACACATTCACACACACACTCATACACTATGGACAATTGTACTGCATGTTTGAATTGTGGGGGAAACCGGAGCACCTGGAGAAAACCCACGCAAACTCCACACAGAAGCGCGAACTGAGCCGAGGTTCGAACCAGCAACCCATCGACCTTCTTGCTGTGAGGCGTCGGCACTACCTACTGCGCCACTGCCTCGTCCTCAACTTAATTTGTTTGTTTAAATTCAGAACATACAAATCGTTTGCAACCACTAACCTTAAATCAACAATGTACATATTGCACATAAACCATCTAGATGTATATATATATATATATATATATATATATATATATATATATATATATATATATATATATATATATATAACTTCATAACTTTTTATTCATTCATTCATCTTCATTTTGGCTTAATATGGGGTCGCCACAGTAGAATGAATCAACAACTTATCCAGCATACGTTTAACATAGTGGATGCGCTTCCAGCTGCAACCCATTATTGAGAAACATTCATCCATACACATTCATTCACACACATACACTACGGACAATTTTAGCGTACCCAATTCACCTGTACTACATGTTGTATACTGTATGTATGTATGCAAGTGTGTATTTATAATGATGCATGTTTGTATGATGTTATGTATATACAATATGTAGCTCCTGAAAACCCAAAAATCATTGTGTGTTTGCGCACATTAGGTGAATAACAAAATCGCCCCAATTTCCCCAAAAGTTTATGGTCGTCATAGATATTATCCTATTATAATTTCACCGAAAAAGCTTCAGGAACCAGGGAGAAGTAGATTGCATGATGCAGGAAGCCATACAGTGGGTGTTGTTCCGCTAATTATCCGCAATGAGCTATTATGCTGGATGTCAATCAGATTTGTATGGCAGCTGTGAAGCTACACTGGATCACAGTTTCCTCCAATCAAGAAGATGAAGAAATTAGAGCGGCAAACGAGAGTATTACCAAATCAGATTCAAAGTTCCAATTGGCCAATTATGCACCGAGATTGATGGTGTACAGGTCAACTAAAAATAGCTCAATTTTGAGGCATTCAGAACTTTAGAAGCTACAAATCTCAGACTTTTAGCTCCAACTACTGATCTGACATGCAGAATACTGTGCTGCTTGGATCATCTTGACAATATTGTGACCTGTACGTGCTTCAGAATTTCAGAAATGCAAAAGCTTTTCTTTGTTTCAGGGATTCACAATATGAAGATTGTTGGTGATATCTATAACTGATTTCTATTTATATTTGGAATATATAGGTCAATAAATTCAAATGTAAATATGTATTTTTCAGAGCTTGATTACAAAAATAAAATGTGAACATATAGGAATCTGAAAGGAAACACCTAGATCAGGGGTGACCAACCCTGTTCCTGGAGAGCCACCTTCCTGCAGATTTCAGTTGCAACCCATATCAAACACACCTGCCTGTAATTATCATGTGGTGTTCAGGTCCTAATTAATTGGTTCAGGTGTGTTTGATATGGGTAGCAACTGAAATCTGCAGGAAGGTGGCTCTCCAGGAACAGGGTTGGCTATCCCTGACCTAGATCTTTCTTCCACCAAAAATAATTTACAGTACAGTCTTTCTGGATGAAAAACTCCTATACTGTTGAAGTGCTGCCTCTAGACCAGTGGTTCTCAACCTGTGGTACGTGTAGTGTACCACTAGTGGTATACGGGCTTCCTTCTAGTGGTATGCGGAGGAATCAAATATGTCATATGTACATGCTACATATATTTTAAAATGTATCAAAAAATATTTATACATGAATATGATGACATAAAGCCTATATTTCTAGGTGGTGATAAATAGGCTACTGTTAATACTTTACAGGAGTACAGGAGGGTTTTTTTACTTTTTAAGAACAGTTACCTATCATTTTTAACTTTTTTTTTGGTTTTTTAATAATTATATTTTCTGGGTTTTCACCTTTATTTTTGATAGGACAGTAGAGAGAACTAACAGGAAAGCATGGGGAGCATAGAGAGAGGGGAAGGACTGGCACAGGACCGCGAGGCGGAATCAAACCCGGGTCGCCACGAGCACTGGAGTGCACGTGTTGACGCACTAATCACTACACCATTGGCGCCAACATCATTTTTAACTTTTAAAGGCACATTTTATGTAAATGTTGATGTTTTTATTATTATTTATGTAAGCATAGTGCAGGGTTAATGTTCAAACTATTTATAATGTTTAAAGGGGCTGACAATACTATTCTTATTCTTATTAATAGGAATTAATCTGCCTCGTTTTTGAACTGTAGAAAGCTGTAGCTGCTTTACTGGGCCTACTACACTACTGTATTTCAATTTTATCTGTCTCATCTATTTTTTTATTCTTATTTTTATAATTCCTATTATTTGTTTTTATTTCTTACACTTGTCTCTTTTATTCCTGTTTATGTAAAACACTTGCCACTGTGTATGAAATTGCCTTGCCTTACTGCTCATTACGGTTATACTTGGAGAGACATTATTTTTTTCTGAGGTAGTACTTGATGAAAAAGGTTTAAGAACCACTGCACTAGACTCTTATAAAATGTGGAAGGCAACAATAAAAACACTAATGAATTGTTTCAGCCTGCGCAAATGACCCAGAGTTTATTGGTTGATAAATAATTTTCTTATCAGGCTGATAATGATAACATTATCAATGAAAGATTTACTGACCAATATAGCCATTAATATATTGTGCGAGTTAAGCCAATAGTTGGATGTAAATCAACCATTTGAGTAGCTGTAATCTGAGGGTTCAAAATAATCAAAATATTGAGAAATTAAGTTCTTAACAATGCATATTACTAAACAAAAAGTAAGTTTGATATATTTACAGTAGAACTGTTACTAAACATCCTCATGTAACATGATATATTGCTAAAAATAAACTGTTGCAGCATAACTACATGTGACACAACAATATTCCACCGACAAGCAATTTGGCTACCTGCACCAAACGCAACACAACACAACAGAAACATTTAAATACTTCAGTCAATCATTTAAACAGTCAATCATTTAAATATCAGCCACTGCACTCCCAACTAAATGGTAAGGGTTCTTATTTAATTAATGCATATTAAACTTATTTAACATTACTAAAAGTACTGGGTGATGATGTTGTTGGTTTGCACTGAGTTACCGCCTTTAATTTTTTAACTGTTTGCTATTTTTTTATGATGGTTGTGCCGAACTGAGCCTGGTTTTTCTCAAGGTATTTTTTCCTTCACTTTCATCAATTGGTGAAGTTTGTTCCTTGCCACTGTCACCACTGGCTTGCTTGGTTTGGGACTTGTGGAGCTGTGCATCGATCGATTTGCAATTGAGTGTTTGAACTTTCAGCAGTGAAATTTAACTACACTGAACTGAACTAAACTCAACTCTGAAAACTGGACTCAAGCTGTTTCAGCTTACTAGAACTTCTATGTGAAGCTGCTTCGACACAATCTACATTGTAAAAGTGCCATAAAAAATAAAGATGAATGAAAAGATGATTTTTTTTAAAGATCTGAGGTAAATAATATGCTGCTGGTTTCAATAGTATGGCAATTAACATCTCAAAAATGGTGTTCAAACTCACATTGTTAGCATCTAACACTCAATAATGTACATAATCTGTTCCTGAGGTGATTAGGGTTTTTTTAGTTTATGCTTTTGTTTTGCTGCAATGTTGTAAAAACAGAAACAGTTTCTAAAACATACATTTAGCATTTGCCATTACATATGGTTATGGCACAAATAGTTTTAGCATGAAAAATATAGCTGTTATCATGTGTTGCAGCACTGCATCGAGTGTAGTTCGGTAGGGGTGTAACGATACACTCAGCTCACAATACGATGTGTATCACGATATAATGTTCACGATTCGATATGTATCACGATATTTGGAATAAAAATTGAAAATTAAACTATAATGCAAATTTTACCAAGTAAACTATTTTTTATGTATTTCTTTTGTTTCAACTTGTTAAACTGATCCTTCTTTAAGAAAATAAATTAAACAGGCCTGTCTCTGGAAAATAAAACAATTTAAAAACTTCTTAAAAATATTAATAAAATGACAGAGACAAAATTAAGAAACAATTTAAGTAAAGGTGCAAAAAAAAGCTTTCTATTCAGTTGAATTTAACAGTAAGAGCTTAAGGCTTTGCTTGGTCACTTGCGTTTTTTGTGTGTGCAAAAAAAAAATCCACATTTCCAGGTATTTAATTCATATTTAATTAAATTCATTTAGAGATATCTCTAATTACAATTGAGACTAGTCAAAACTCATTTAGAGATATCTGCACATATTTTTCAATGGAAGTCAATGGAGGAATATGACTAGTCATAATATATTTGCAGATATCTCCAATCTGATTTCGTACTAGTACAATTGTAATTGCAGATATCTCTAATTGTCATTCTGACTAGTCGAATTATAATTATGACTAGTCAAAATATAATTAGAGATATCACTAAATATATTTATGGATAGTCAGAACAAAGGTTTAAATGCTAAAACGGCTTGCCATACGCGCGCGTCTATCAGTCCGCCTTCTGTAGTAACAGCTCTCGGTCAGCTCACGTCATGTGTGATTTTGCGGCGGGAACATTATATGAAGACAGAATGATATTTTAGGCTGAATTGTACCTTATAAATACAGTATGTGACTCTTTCAACACCATTAGGAGGTATCCCTGTCGCTGTGCAAAGTATGTAAATCACTGTGAAAACTTTAAAACTTAGGATGTTTGACCCAGTATGCGTGTCAAAAAGCGGACGAGTCTAAAGCAATGACTGCACAACCGAAATGTTGCCAGACGTCTGATTTTGAGAGGATGGGCCATCCTCTATTTCAGCTCCACTCATCTTGGTCTGCTAACATTACTGCTGCTGCAATCTGAACTCACGTGCGACAGCAGGTGGAACGTAGCTCACGTGCAAACAGCTCAACTAATAATCATATCGTAATCAAATCGTCAAAACGCCACGATGCATATTGTGACATTTTTGCATCGCAATAAATCGTACAACGATAAATCGTTACACCCCTATAGTCTGGACATGATGACAACGGTTTGTGTAAGGTTTGACAAGTGTAAGGTTTCATGGTCCAGGATCACATATCTTTTTAAACACCATAAAATCAATGCTAGTTTTGTTGTATGATTTCCTGTTCTCTAGATATCAACTTTGAAAATGCCTATTGACTAATTCAAGAGTTTACACTTAGATATTGCTTGATAATAATAGCAGGTTTGGCATGCTGTCCTGGGAGAGAACCCTCAGCTCAGAGATAATTGAGCCAAGGGCTTATGGCTGGTCAATGAGCATGTAAGGGGATACGAGATCAGGTAGTTCAAAATTAGTTTTGAAACTTCATTACATATCAGTTGTCCCTTAACATTATTTACACTAAATAATATCACCAAAATGAACTTACGGCGGCGTGAGGTGCGGCGACGGAGCCTGTACGTATCTTTACCATTACACAGACGGTAAATAAACCGGCCAAGCTGATGCATATTATTAACACGACCAGTCACGACCATCTCTTCCTGCACAATGTACGTCTGGGGGAGGTAAGTCCCTTTCTGTAAAAAAAAAAAAAATAGATAGAAAGGCATCATCATCAAGATATAATTCACACTTCAACTGCTATTATATTCAAACAATAGTAGTACCTTGACGTTAATGAGCAGCTCCCAAAGGTTGCGAGGCGGCATTACAACGGTGGTGTTGAGCTCCGTGACATAACACTTGTCTAAGGCGATGTCATGGTAGGCTGTCAGACCCTTAAAACCCAAACACATTCATAGAATTTAGATAATAACATAAAAGGATGTTGTATTAAATGTGAGTGGGTTTGTAATAATGTATTCATGTGACAATATGTTAGATTTTTAAGGGATAGTTCATCCAAAAATGAAAATTTACAGTTAATTTTCTTAGGCAATTAAAGATGGAGGCAAAACCTCATACTTCAGCTTCTCATCAGACTACTGACCAATCAAATGCTGTCTATTATCCGACATGCGCCACCCCCTTCAAGATTAGTTGACTTTTCTTAATAACAGTGAGTAAACCCGTTGCCTTAATTTTTAAAGTAAGTGAAGTTTCACAAACTAATTTCGAGAGGAGCACGAGATATAAGAATGAGCACGACTGGCTTTTCATCTGAAATCAGTAATAATCCAATCAGAGTAATCCAAGCTTACTATAAATGGATCGTTTTCTCCCTACTACTCTACTTCTACCCCATCTCCTCTTTTTCGTCCCTTTTCTAAGAGGAAGCTCTCAAGACCTACCTGATCTCGGATCCCCTTGTCTGCTTATTGACCGGGTGGGAGCCTTGGGCTCAAGTATCTCAGAGCTCAGGGTTCTCTCCCAGGACACCATGTGAAACCTGCTATAAATGCCAACCATATCTAAGTGGAAAATCTTGAAATGAAATAGCTAACTCAACAGTTCCAAGTTATTCACTTTTTAAGTAAAGTCAACTTGTTGGTTTTTTTAGGCAACGAGTTTGCTCACTTTATTTAAGTAAAGTAAATAAACACTTTTAACAGTACACTCTCACTAGCAGAGCTGTAGTGTAAACAAAATGCTATTGGCTGTTTTTTTAAAGGGAAGGAGCTACTATATGCCTCACCCTCTCTTTATATTTCAGTTTAGATTATGACAAACTTCAAATAAAAAATGCACATTTCGAAGCACGTTATGAGCTGTAAGTTGTCATTTTTGGATTAACTAAACCCCTTTAAGCGTAGATTTACCCTGTGGAAATCATGAATGATGTCAGCAGGGTCTGTGTTGCTGAAGTCGGGCACAGGGACGCTGATTTGCTCGTAGTTTTCCTTCAGATAGATGCCCACATTCTCCTCCACCTCATGGGAACCTCGCAGCGGAGCAGCCACCGAGTCCTCATACACGACGCGGCAGTGGAACCGACTTTGATCCGGAACCTGAATCATCATCACATTAAAGACAGCTAATAATTATAGAGCTAATGCTTTTATTATATCATCTCCTAAACCAAAAACACCGACTGACATTGTTCAAACACAAAAACATAATATGATTATTGTTTTTCATATAATTGTGAAGGTGAAATTAATTCTTAAAATAAATCTCTATCATTTACTAGCGATTATTGTGTACTGAGTGCATTAGTGCCACTTTTTTAGCAGTACTGCATCCAGAAGTGTTTTTCCAATTAGAATTTTTCAATAAAGTGATACAAGTTATACGTTTAAAGTGTTATAAGCCATGAACTTAAACAATCATCCAAACCTTACAAATTTTTGAAACAAAAAAGTATATGGAAATCAAATATAAAGGCAAAGGTACAAAGAAACTTGTCTAATGCTTATTTTGTCTTAGTATATGCCATTATGTTCATTTCTGAAAGACCAACAAACTAAACAAAATCATTTTAAAGGGGATCTATTATGCAAAAATCCCTTTTATATGGGGTTTAAGTACAGTTGTGTGGCAAGAGTGTGTGAATATAGCCAGCTTCTTATTACACAAATGTATTATTTAATTTTTTTATAATCAAACTTTCTACTCTTTATACGTGTCATCATCAAAGGGGGAAATCCACGCCCACTAGTGACAATCTCTACCTCATTAGAATATTTTGTTAGTCTTCCTTTTGAATCTGCCACTATGTAGCACTATGTAGATTTGTAGCTCCGCCCTCTTTTGAAAAGAGCACAATCTAATTTGAATTTAAAGCGACAGTCGCCAAAATGGCACAATTAGGATCAAAGAGTTTCAAAGAGTTGTTAAACATCATTTGTGTAGTATTTTGAGCTAAAACTTTACATAAACACTCATCAGACATCAGAGACTTATTTTACATCTTGAGGAAAATAGGCTTTGAAATAGGCGTTTCTTTATTGGCTGAACAACATTTCTGACGCTGTGTGTTGAGATTTGTCTGTCGGTTAGACCAGTTTATCCAATCAATCACATCATCTGATGTGAAAAGAGTATTTCAACAATAACTGAAGCCACAAAAAGAAGAGGGTCCATTAAACGGCATAACATTTTCGGCCGATAAGGTTTTGGTGGCTGAAAATTCGGTACATGGCTAATATTAACACACTTTTAGATTCCCATTGTTGCACATTTCTGCTGTGTGATTGCTCTTAGATCAATACAGAGTAAAAAAGTCCAGAGCTTATTGTTATTATTGACAAATTTTATCGCAATTCGATGTAATATCATTTATCAGCCCAGCCCTAATTTGTACTATTCAGCGTTTTTATGCAATATCCTAAAATGTGCATAAAAAGATTTGGATTGAAGCATGCACTGAAAAAAATGCTTTTCTTGGGAGATATTGTTTATTTTCTAATTTAAATATCCATAAATTCTTTAAATCAAGAGGCATTTTCAAGACAAGCAAAAACATTAGTTTTATTTCCAGGAATAAGTCAAAATTAAGTGTGTTTTTACTTACTTTTACTCAGGGAAAATAATCTGGCAGTGGAGTAAGTAAAACAATCGTGTTTTCAGTTTGAAATACTTTAACTTTATTTAACTTGTTCTAACCTAACGTTGAGGCGGATGGGCTACATCATCAGAAGACCATACCGGGTAACTTGCTCTTGTTGTTAACTCACTAACTCACTCAATTTCAACTTATTATTTCTGAAAACAAAACAATATTTTTTACTTGTCCAAAAAATAGTTCTTGATTTAAGAATGTTCAGATATTTGGACTAGAAACAACACAAGAACTCTTAGCAAGAAAAGCATTTTATCCAGTGTGGCTAGTGAGACATTTCTATAAATGATTCATTCAGAAACTACAGTAATCACTGCCCTTTTCCATGTAATGAATAACAGTCAGTTTTATACTTCATACTTCTTAGATGACTTCTAGCGCAGGTGAAAAATCAGACAACCAATGAACCAAACCACAGCTATTGAATCATCATTACTGTAAATAAAAAACTAACCGTATGACAAATGAATCACAAAACCCTAAAACATAAGCTCTGTCAGAGTGAACGCATAAACAGGCTCTAATGCAAGCTTATCAGCTAATCAACACTGTGAAATTTAAGCCACTTATACATTTCTGAGCTACCTGAGGAATGATGTAGTAGCGGTAGATATATATCGAAGCATAAATCAGACTGCAGGTGAAGACAATCAGTGCAGTTGTCAGGCAGCAAAGTCCACTCAGAGAGGAGCGCTTCCGTCCAACAGGTAAGACCAGCTCCTCTTCCACCTATACAGAAATACATGTATTTATGTTAAATTAGGGACATTTAAAGGCATTCTATGTAATTTTTGCCACTAGAGGGCACATATTCGCAACAAACAAAGGTGTCATTTGATGACGTCATGACTGAGTGTGGAATCATGGGAGTTGTGGTCCTCATTACATGCAGGATTCCTGCAGAAATAATGTTGATGGATGAGCTAATGTATTCCAATTTTAAAGTATTCAATATTGATATTGCAATGTGCAAATCTGCAATAGTTACATGGCAGGGTTTGCAACGTTGAGTTGGCATTATAATAACCAGGAATCGATCTAATAGAGTAAAATATGTTCATTTGGATATGTTTTTAAGATATAAAGCAAATTTAAACCAAGAACTTCTAAAGTTTACAAATTTGGCATAGATTAATAATTATTTATACAATGAAGACAATACAGTGTTGATTAATATACAATTTATGTTCTTTAATGCTGTTAGACTTCACAGAAAACCATAAATAACAAAACAATTCATTCATGTTCTGATGTATTCATCTGGGCTTGCAAATTGTTGGTTAAGTTTTATGCAGATGTATGAATTATTTTTAAGTAAAGTTATTTAGGTCATATTTTGTGAAATTATGACCTAAATAATATTATTATATTATAAAATTATATTTTGTGAATTTTTTCCAATTTCTTGCAGCACTAGATATTAAAGCATCTTTGGTGTTTATATAACCCAATAAAACCAAACTGAAAATCAAGGATGTGTGATGTTATCAGCATGGCTACACAATGACGCCGTCCTCCTCACTAGTAAAAATTGCTTATTTCTCTGGATTTGAACATTTTTCGAAACATTTGGGATAATAAAAATATTTTAGTCTGCAAAATATGTAACGGTTGTCATGTTTTTCGTTAATATTTTAATGAAATATTAATTGTGCCAGTGCTGTCGCCTCACAGCAATAAGGTCGCTGGTTTGAGCCTAAGCTCAGTTGGCGTTTCTGTGTGGAGTTTGCATGTTCTCCCTGCGTTCGCGTGGGTTACCTCCGGGTGCTCTGGTTTCCCCCACAGTTCAAAGACATGCGGCACAGGTGAATTTGGTAGGCTAAATTGTCCTTATTGTTTGAGTGTGTGAATGTGTGTGTGGATGTTTCCCAGAGACGGGTTGCGGCTGGAAGGTCATCCGTTGCATAAAACATGTGCTGGATAAGTTGGCGGTTCATTCCGCTGTGGCGACCCAGGATTAATAAAGGGACTAAGCTGACAAGAAAATGAATAAATGAACGATTAATTGTGCCTTCCCACATAGAAATCTGATATGGCAATTGATTACATAAAAAGTTCAAAATATTTCATATATGCAACATTTATGTATATAAGATTATTTATAATATATATATGATTATGTATGTGTGTGTGTGTGTGTTTATACATATATAACCATTAGTATTACAATTATGGACAAAAAGATTCAAATAATAGCTGTAATGTTATACATATGTACATATGGCATGTAGACATGATTAAGACGATCTGCTGCATTTCAAACAGAGCATCAAAATGGGGAAAAAAAAGGTGATTTAAGTGACTTTTAACGTGCCATGGTTGTTGGTGCCAGACGGGCTGGTCAGAGTATTTCAGAAACTGCTGATCTACTGGGATTTTCATGCACAACCATCTCTAGGGTTTACAGAGAAGGGTCAGAAAAAGAGAATATATCCAGTGATTGGCAGTTCTCTGGGCGCAAATGCCTTCTTGATGTCAAAGGTCAGAGGAGTATGGCCAGACTAGTTCGAGCTGATAGAAAGGCAACAGTAACTCAAATAACCATATTTTTTTGGCACACTTTGGGCCCATTAGTACCAACTGAGCATTGTTTCAACGCCACAGCCTACCTGAGTATGGTTGCTGACTATGTCCATTCCTTTATAACCACAGTGTACCCATCTTCTGATGGCTACTTCCAGCAGGACAATGCGCAATGTCATTAAGCGCAAATAATATCAGACTGGTTTCATGAACATGACAATGAGTTCACTGTACTCAAATGGCCTCCACAGTCACCAGATCTCAATCCAATAGAGCACCTTTGGCATGTGGTGGAATGGGAGATTTGCATCTTGGATGTGCAGCCAACAAATCTGCAGCAACTGCGTGATGCTATCATGTCAATATGGAGCAAAATCTTAGAGGAAAATTTCCAGTACCTTGTTGAATCTATGCCACGAAGGATTAAGGCAGTTCTGAAGGCAAAAGAGGGTCCAGCCCGGTACTAGTAAGATGAAATTAATAAAGTGGCCGGCGGGTGAATATGTATATAATTATACCTAATATATCTAAACATAGATGTACATATCTAAAATTCCAATGGTTGAAAAAATAAAATAAAATGGCCATACATGCAATGTTTCGAAATATATGTTGCCTATATGACTTACATTTTATACTTGTGAAATCCAAACATGAACTTCCATGTTATATATGCAATATGCATCTATTTAGTTTTCTATATGGGTCTAAAAAAAGCACATTTTAATTACCACAACCTAATTTGAGTGTGGATTTAGCTGCTTTATGAAGACGTCTTCATTATTAGCTCCTCCCATAGGTCTTCACAAAGTAGGTCATTTCAGGTTGCTTCTTCGCAGGGACATTCGTTCCTCAGCAAGATGGCAAAACCACACACACACACTGCAGTAATAAACTCATCATGTCCTCAATACTGTGCCACTTTCAGTATGATCACCCACACGCTGCGAGACGTGCTACAATCAGCATTACATTCACTTGTATCCCATCCAGCCAAGAATGGATTATTCATTGCTCGTACTACAGAAGGAAATTATTAGATGTGAGATGCTGATAGGCAATGACTAATAACGCCCCCAGTCTTGCAACCCATCTGCCATCTGAACGGCACATGGCCTGAGATGGCCCTATTCTTATACACACACACACACACACACACACACACACACACACACACACACACACACACACACACAAGCACATTTGGATTAATATCAGGATGGAGATTTCCTTTTGACTCACTTTCAGATATTTAGATTTGAGATATTTAAAATGCACTCTGCCAATACTGACTCCACGCACACACTTTTTACTAACATTTGTTATTGTTCAGTTTTGGCTCCCAGTTATTGGATATTGTTAAGCTATTTATATGTATATATGCTCTAAAAGTAATGTTCAGATGTTGTGTTTTTATATTGTATATTTTAGGGATAGTTCACCCAAAAAATGAAAACTTCCTCATCATTTATTCCTTTTCCTTCAGCTTAGTCCCTTATTTATCAGAATTCACCACAGTGGAATGAACCACCAACTATTTTAACATATGTTTTACGCAGCGGATGCCCTTCCAGCCACAACCCAGTACTGGGAAACATCCATACACACTATGGCTAATATGGTTTACCCAATTCACCTATTGCGCACTCGGAGGAAACCCATGCCAACACGGGCAGAACATGCAAACACCACACAGAAATGCTAACTGGCCCAGCCCCGACTCTAACCAGCGATCTTCTTGCTGTGAGGTAACAGTGCTAAACACTGCAACTGTATCTGGATGCAGCCTTTATGATGCAAGCTCAGAGATGCAATGTCAGACACAAGGCACTCAATGGAGCTACTTCTGTGTATATATGTTTATGTCGTGTATGATGTGTATATTATGTGTAAGACTTCACTGTGGACAGCAAAGTAAGAATTTCATTGTACAGGAAAACATGTTTCCTTACTGTGCACATGATAATAAACAAATTGAATTGAATTAAATAGCGATGTCACTGTGACGTAGAGATCTGCGCAGGACTAAATTTTGAATCCTGCTCCTGCTCCTGCCCGCTCCCGCCAGGTTTTAGCCCGAACCTGACCGCTCCCGCTTATATTCAGCATTTGTTTTCCCGCTGCCTGTCCCTCCCCGTTTTCTACCCATCATGCCCGTTTCTGCAAAAGAGGGGGTTAACAGCAAAACCGAAAACAACCCAGCTATACAGAGTCCAGATAGCCTATAACAAGCTGTCTGTATGAACACACACATAAGCACCAAGCAAGTGACACACACACATAGGCATCTCGCTCTCTCTCTCATTCACACACTCACACAGCAACAAATGAGCTAAATGCAGAATCACGCTGTCTTATTCACACACATATATGCGAGCTTGCTCGCTCGGGAGTCAGGAGTGATTTTGTTAGACCGCCCGCTCCCATCCAAAATTAAACTAGTTACCGACCGCTCCCGCTCTTTATTCAAAAATTTATTATTCCCGTGCCGCAGAAATCTGGTTGGCTCCCGCAGTACAGCCACAGGAATGCAGACCTCTACTGTGACGGGTAGGGTTAGGGGTGAGGTTAGGTTAGGTGAGCCCATTCAAAATCATTGCATGCAGCTCAGATTGCATCTGCACCGAGTCTGCAGCCAGACGCCTCTCAAACACTGAGCCGAAATGTCGCCTCAATATTTACTCATACTTAAATAATTTTGTATGTTTATGGATTTATGTCTTCTGTTGAACACAAAATGTTGGAAACCAGCAGCCATTGACATCCACAGTAGGAACAAAAAATAGTGGAAGCCAATGAGTGTTTTTTCCCCTCAACATTGTTTGGTATGTCTTCTTTTGTGTAAAAAAAAAAAAAAAGTCAAAGAGGCTTGTAAAAAGTGTAGGGTGAGTAAATGATGGCAGAATGTTCATTTTAGGGTGAGCTGTCTCTTTAAATGTTTCGTTTTACAAAAATGATGACATTGTTTGAACGTTCTTTGTTAAAAAAAAAAAAACAATAGATTAAATTTAAGCAAAACATTTTTACACCATTCCATAAGCAATATATAAACAACATTTTTGTGTCAACATTATTAATGACCAGATACATTTTAACCGGAAATTCTGTTATGGATTGCACATAACTTTGAGAAGACATCATCAGAATGAACATTTGCTAATTGCATAGTAGAAAAATGTGAATAATATTACAAAGGGAATTATTACAGATGCTAATGATCACAAAATTACACATTAAACTGATAAGTTGTTTTATTGGGGAGGATACACTGCAAAAAAATGTTTTTCTTACTTAGATTTGTTGTCTTCTTTCTATAGTTCAAATATCTAAACATTCTTCAGGAAGAGTTTTCTAGGCAAGCAAAACATATTGTCTTGGTTTCAGAAATAATGAGCCAAAATAAAGTGAGTTTTTCCTTAAAACAAGCAAACTAATCTGCCAATGAGGTAAGCAAATGATTGTGTTTTTCCTTTTGACATAACATTATTTTGCTCACCCCATTGGCAGATTATTTTTCTTGTTTTAAGGAAAAAAAAAAATATATATATATATACACGCACACTCTACTTTTAGTACCAGAGTGATAATAAACAGCTAAAGCTCACTGAAGTCATTCTCCTCACCGTAGCCATCTGCCATTTTGTCTGTTGGATTAGTGTCTGTGTGTGTTTTTCTGTAGCTTATACACATAAACCTGTGCTGCACTATGCCAAATTTGATCCCGTTATTATAAGCTACTAAAAATAAAGGCTGAAATATCCACAATAAAAATCTACACATTCATTATTAAAATAATTATTCTTTTTGATTAAATCCTAAATCCACAGCAATATATTTTAATCTGTTTATTGTAATTATGCTAATATTAAATGTTTACTCCATCACTTTATAAATCAATAAGCAGTTTTAGGGAAACATGACAATAACGCATCCATATTGAGCACGTAGATAAAGTGAACACTATGTGCCGGAGATAGTATAAATATGCATGCTATGTGATGTGATGTTGTTGGTGCAGGTGCTGCAGCATCCATGTCCTCATGTTATGAAACCAAAGGACACTATTCTCGATAACAAGGGGGAAACACAGCTGTAAACGCATAATAAGTGTTTGATGGAGCATTATCAATAGCTAGATCATATATCAGCCCACCAATGACGTGATTGATGGTTTACCATGGATGTTCTTTCCTTTCCGGCTTTCATTCGGGTTTTCAACCGCTTTTTTCCGTGACATTTCGGATGAAGCACACAAAAAGCGAAACTTACGTGTGAATGCGGTATGAATATTTGAGTTTTATCTCCATCACCACCCTCTTTCTCGGCTTTTTGTCCTGTGATGGGCTGAAAGCTGATCTTCACCATGATGAAGGAATAAACCGCTGTTTTGTTTTGTTTTTAGCGCGAACGCAGATCCTTTCCCCCCGAGCCTTTTGAAACAATATTTGCCGTTCGTTACAATAGACCGGAAGAATATATTATTTATTTATAGAATTGTACATTTAAAAAAACGGTCTTAAAGTCACAGTGCTAGCGACGCTGGCGATGATGCGCGCGACCCAGAAAGAGCAAGCGCGCACACGTTTTGTATACATCATATGGAGATGTACGTGAGCGCATTGCTTTAGAAGATTTGTAGTGTGTTTATTATGTTAACATTTGCTTTTGGGAAACAAAGAGGGGTCAGTTGAAGTGGCATTTAAATGTTATAGGTGTCTATAGATTATAAATATCTATATAACATTTAACTTTATTGATGTTAAATGTACAATGTCTATCTATCTATCTATCTATCTATCTATCTATCTATCTATCTATCTATCTATCTATCTATCTATCTATCTGTCTGTCTGTCTGTCTGTCTGTCTGTCTGTCTGTCTGTCTGTCTGTCTGTCTGTCTGTCTGTCTGTCTGTCTGTCTGTCTGTCTGTCTGTCTGTCTGCCTGTCTGTCTCCTCATTAAAAATACTATAGTAATTTATCGTTAATTCAATGGTTGTTTCGAACCATACCTCAATTTATTTGTGTATTATAGAGTTTACAACTTTTTAATGAATGCTACCACATACTTTAGGCTAGAATTAGCTAAAGTAAACTGATAAACTGTAATAAATACTGTAGTAGGCCTACTTTAAATTTTACTACAGGAAACAGTGGTGTATTGTAGGATAACATACCTTTTGGTTGTTAAAATCTACAGTATTCAGTCATTTGATTATATTACTATAGTTACTGTGTCTATTCACATGAAAAAAATACTTTATAGTAAATTCTACTGATTTTGAACCATACTATTCGTGTATTAATCATACTATGCTATTATTATTATAACACTATTATATTTATTATAATATAATATACACTCACCGGCCACTTTTTTAGGTATGCTTTACAAGTACCGGGTTGGACCCCCTTTTGCGCTGATCCTTTGTGGCATAAATTCAACAAGGTACTGGAAATATTCCTCAGAGATTTTAATCCATATTGAAATGACAGCATCCCGCAGTTGCTGCAGATTTGTCGGCAGCACATCCATGATGTGAATCTCCTGTTCAACTACATCCCAAAGGTGCTTTATTGGATTGAGCTCTGGTGACTGGGGAGGCCATTTGAGCACAGTTAACTCATACTCAAGAATTTGCGCTTTTTGACATGGCGTGTTATCCTGCTGGAAGTAGCCATCAGAAGATGAGTACACTGTGGTTATAAACGGATGGACATATTCAGAAACACAGAATGACACAATGCTCAATTGGTACTAATGGGCCCAAAGTGTGCCAAAAAATATCCCCCACACTATTATACCACAACCAGCCTGAACCATTGAAACAAGGCAGGATGGATTCATGCTTTCATGTTGTTGATGCCAAAATCTGACTCTACCATGCGAATGTCGCAGCAGAAATCAAGACTCAACTGACATTTTTCCAATCATCTATTATCCAATTTTGGTGAGTCTGTGCAATTGTAACCTCAGTTTCCTGTTATTAGCTTACAGGAGTGGCACCCGGTGTGGTCTCCTGCTGATGTAGCGCATCTGACTCAAGGTTGGACGTGTTATGCATTCAGAGATGCTCTTCTGCATACTTTGGTTGTAACAAGTGGTTTTTGAGCTACTGTTGCCTTTCTATCAGCTCGAACCAGTCTAGCCATTCTCCTCTGACATCAACTAGGCATTTGCGCCCACAAAACTGCAGCTCATTGGATATTGTTGCATTAACGTACCTAATAAAGTGGCCACTGAGTGTATATTATACTGTATATATTAGTTTACAACTCTGCAAACGAATGCTAAAGGATACTGTAGTATTAATGATAGTAAACTGATAAACTGTAATAAAACACTGTAGTATACAGTATTTTATTTAATAGTGTAGTATTAGTATTTAACATCTATCTAGCTGTCTGTCTATCTATCTATCCATCCATCCATCCATCCATCCATCCATCCATCCATCCATCCATCCATCCATCCATCCATCCATCCATCCATCCATCCATCCATCCATCCATCCATCCATCCATCCATCCATCTATCCATCTATCTATCTATCTATCTATCTATCTATCTATCTATCTATCTATCTATCTATCTATCTATCTATCTATCTATCTATCCATTTAACACTATCCATCTTTAGTGATTAACACTACAGTTACCCAAACAAAGACAGTAGAAACAAGTATTTTTATTCCAAACTTTATTTCCAACTGTTAGTCTGTCTACAAACTGACATTTCAGATGAAACTCCATCATTTCTGCGCCCAAGTGTTATTACTCAGGCCAGCTCTACATAGGTTAAATTGGACCATTTAATTGAAACAGACAGCAGGCCAAGAGGTTTCCAGCCGGTCCGTTAAAGACGTCCATGCTTAATCTAAAGGCTGCGAAATACAAACATGCACTGATATGCAAGATAGGTTTACTAATTCTCAGAATTCTTAATGCTCGGCCAGTTACCATGTCAGGCATACAAGATGACTGTGATTGGCTGCTGTTACAAGTGCCAACCAATGAAAGAGTCTAGTCTGTTGTAAAATCGCAGCTTATGGTGAGTTGCCCGTCACCATATAAACAGGATAAGCAGAGACTCAAATATGAGGAAAACTGTTTAAGCTACGCAGTTTCATTGCATTCATCACTAAAATAAAATACTGTTATAGACATATATTAATCCCTGTATTTCTGACCAGAACTGTAAACATTCTGCAGAACATCTATGAGTAAAGTTCTGCATTAAAAGTAACATTATGCATTCAAAATGAAGGGGTTTATGGCAGACGATTGTGGCTGGCTGGTGAGTAAAAGCAGTCATAACCTGAAAATGATCAACCAAAACCCTGCACTTTCAATTTTAGGTGTTTTTTTTAGACGTGGGGTAAGCTTAGATTAAAAAGAAAAACCCCTGGAGCAAGTACCAGATGCTATAAAACAAACCTAAAAAAAACATTCACAGAGTGTGAGTGAGCTTGAGCCGCTCGTCTACATCCAACCGTTTCAGATTCAACTCCAGCTATAGTAACATCTCACAATGGATTAGTTAATTTTATCCCCAAAATAAAAGGTACAGTAAGAAAGATGATACAGTAAGTGGGCTGGTATATTAAGTAAAATCACACAAAACCAGTAAAGAACACCTCACCTCCAAATTCAAGAGAAAGAATATCGTTAAATGTTTGTACAATCTCTTTGTGCAAACATTTTGATTTAAATATGATTGCATTGTAATTATTTTAGAAAAAGTGATCATCAAAAAAATCATCATTTATTGTAACTCATGTGGTTTTAAACCTCAATGGGTCTGTTTGTTTCTTTTGAACACAAAAGAAGATATTTTGAAGAATGCTAGTTGCTGACATCCATTTATGGACTTCCGTACTTGGAATCAATGGGTACCAGCAACCAACATTCTTCAAAATATCTTCCTTTGTGTTACACAGAATATCAAACAATCCAAATAAGTTTTGAAAAACAGAGTAAATGATTACAACTGCATTGTAATTAATAAAAAAAATAATAATAACAACAACAACAATAGTAATAAGCTTAAAGGGATAGTTCACCGAAAAATTTAAATGACCTCATCATTTGTTGTCACTTGTGTGGTTTTAAACCTTTAAGTTTCTCTATTCTGTTATACACAAAAGAAGATATTTTGCAGAATGCTGGATGCTCGCCCATTTATTGACTTCCATACCTGGAATGAATGGGTACCAGCAGCCAACATTCTTCAAAATATCTTCCTTTGCGTGTCAACAGAATAATAAAAAAATCCAAATTGGTTCTGAACAACAGTGAGTAAATGATTACTATTGCATTGTAATTAATAATAATAACAATAAGCTTAAAGGGATAGTTCATCCAAAAAATGAAAATTACCTCATCATTTATTGTCACTCATGTGGTTGAGCTTTTATGAGTTTCTTTGTTCTGTTGAACACAAAGGAAGATATATTGCATAATGCTGGTTGCTCACACCCTTTTATTGACTTCCTTTCCTGGAATCAATGGGTACCAGCAACCAACATTCTTCAAATTATCTTCCTTTGCGGTCAACAGATTGATATAAAAAAATCCAAATAGATTCTTAACAACAGCGAGTAAATGATTATAACTGCATTGTAATTAATAAAAAATATCAATAATAATAGTAATAATAAGCTTAAAGGGATGGTTAACTCCAAAAAAAAAAAAAAGAAGAAAATCATTTATTGTCACTCGTGTGGTTTTAAACCTTTGAGTTTTTTTCTTCTGTTAAAGATATTTTGCAGAATGCTAGTTGCTCACACCCTTTTATTGACTTCCATACCTGGAATCAATGGGTACCAACAGCAACATTCTTCAAAATATCTTCCTTTGTGTTCAACAGAAAGATAAAAAATCCAAACAGTTTTTGAACAACGGTGAGTAAACGAATACAACTGCATTATAATTAATAAATAAGCTTAAAGGGATAGTTAACACAAAAAATTTAAATGACCATTACTTATTGTCAGCACAAAAGAAGATATTTTGAAGAATGCTGAATGCTTACACTCTTTTATTGACTTCCATATCTGGAATCAATGGGTACCAGAACCAACATTCTTCAAAATACCTTCATTAGCTTTTCAATACAATAAAATAAAAATTCAAATAGGTTTTGAAGAATGGTGAGTGAATTGCATTGTAATCATATATATATATATATATATATATATCCTTAAAGGGATAGTTCACACAAAAAAAAGAAGAAAATGACCTCATCATTTATTGTCACTAATGCAGTTTTAAACCTTTGACTTTCTTTTTTTTTTAACATAAAATAAGATATTTTGAAGAATTTTGGATGCTCACACCCTTTTATTGACTTCCATACTTGAAATCAATGGGTACCAGCAACCAACATTCTTCAAAATATCTTCTTTTGTGTTTCAACAGATAAAAAAAAAAACGTAACTAGGTTTTGAACCACGGCGAATAAATGATTCAGTTAATTTCTTGGTGAACCATCCTTTTATTATCTGAAAAACAATTCTGAAAAGCTAGTATAAAGATTTACTATAGAATCATGATTTAGTTCAAATCAATGTAAATTTTTGATGAGCAGGTCACAAAATATAACATTTCTCTTGATTATGGGGTGACGTGAGGTTTTGTCAGATTCTACTATGCATTCAGCAAATGATCAAAAGCTGACATTAAATGAGAATGTCTAAAAGGTTTGAGTACTAGACAAATACTACACCAGTGGGGTTAGTAACACCGAAAACTAGAATAGACAGATCATAAATTTTAGGGTTACAACCACAGAAAGCAGAATTAACAGCGCCAACTTTCCATTCCACCCATTCAATGCAGTGACTAATAATGATAAACAAAAATGCCAGCGTTAAATCAGAGACGGCGCTAACAAATCAGTATCTAACCTCTCACATTTACTCGTCCACACGTCTCTCGAAATGACTCTGACACAATAAACCGTTACCATGTCTAAGGTGCTAAAACACATCCTACAAAGCCAAAACAAATATGAAAAGTGAAAAAAAACAAACCCTATGTACACGTTCACTACTCATCCAGGATATGCAACCTCGAAATGTGCAAAACATGATGCGTGCGTCACAGGAGTGTGTTTGAATGCTATACGAGATATGACAAATGCATATTCATCACTGAATTCATCACTATCCAATTAGCAAACTCCCATCTGTGTAGGTTTCTTAGCATCTGAGTGTATGTTTGTTTGTGTATGAGGTACAAAAAACCCCTCCTGTATGTGCAATAAAGCAGCAGCATCTATTTCCGTCTTTTCTGTTCACTTTGCTCGTTTTTTTAAACATGAGAATAAAACATAAATCGAGGGGGGAGAGGTTGGATGTCCAACGAAGCAAAACCCTTCTTCAACATCACTCACCGAGCTCAAACGGCATTTAACGGTTCCTGCAAAACACAAAAACATGCCCAGCGCTGCGGCCACTCAACGACCCAGAGAGCCAAACATTGCCCAGACGCCACCGTCTAGACTTCCTCTATGCGTTCGTGTATATACTGGTGGTGATTCTCAAGCGTCCTGCGGGGTCGGCCTCTTGAGGTCTCGGATCTGTTTGATTAGATACGTCTTCTCGTCGCTGAACTGCTCGTCCTCGGCGCGGTCGTTCTGGAACTTGCTGAGGAACTCGATGAGTTTGGTTTGGTTCTTCAGCAGGATGTCCAGGATGGGCGGAGTCTTGTTGGGATTGGCCACAAACACCTGAATGATCCAAGAGAAAATCAATCACTCAGAATGCTGAAACTTGAGATGTGTTTCAGCTTCGCATACTGGTAAGGAGCTACTTCAGAAAACTAATTAACGGTCTTCAATGCCTGCCCTTGGTCTTACCTATTAAACATAACCCCGCATTTCCCCCGTTACTTAATGATAAAGCATTTAATATTTGGCAGACAGCAGGAATTACTGGCCCTAATTATGAGTAACTAATTAAATTAGCTAAAAATGAACAGTAAAACTTAAGTGGCTAAAAAATAAACTTATTAACTAGTTACTCTTTAACTAATATTAAGCTCAACATTTGGCTGGTAAGTTGGTATAACATGTCAATAGCCCCTTTCACACATACAGACCTTTCCGGAAAATTACCGGCAATTTTCCGGAAAGGTCTGTATGTGTGAACAGGCCCTTTTTGAAAATACCGGTAAATTCGTTCTGGCTATTTTCTGGAAAGAGAAGTTGTAACATTACCGGTAATTTACCGGAATGCTGCGCTGAGTGAATGCAAAAGGAAGATTGCCGGAAAGAGCGCGTGAACATCTAGAACGTGCTGACGTGAGACGCCTGCTTTAGCCAATCAGAACAGTCAGAAGCATTCACGTCCGCGCGGTTTATGCGAATAAAAGCCTTTGAGTATTTTACCAGACATATTTAGCTGCTAGATGTTAGTCAGATAACGTTTATATGTTCGTCTTAATGCCAACTGTGTAAATAATTATCGATAAGATGCTTATGATAAGCCGTTGTTTGTTTACCTTCTGCGTGTGCCCGTGAAACAGCCCATGAGCGTCAGCACACACATATCATGAACATCTCGGCATGCGAAAGTGTTTCTCTATATGTTTTCATCGAAGTTGTTCACACAATACTGATCCATCCACAGAGTTTGTGATGTACTCAAATGTTTACAAATACAAGCGCAGCCGTTTAAAGCTCATTTCTGGTTAATGATGTCAGAATTTACCGGTATTTTGGAATGGATGTGTGAATGCTCTTTTCCGGAAAAGTTCCTTAACGTCCTCGCCTGTGTCAACAGCGTTTTTTGGAATTTACCGGTAAAGTCAGTGATACCGGTATCACTGTGTGAAAGAGGCTAATAAATAAATGTGAGGGTGGGAGAATTTCTACCTTAAATACATGAAAGGCCTCAAACTGGATGTTGCGGCTCTTGTCTCTCAGTAGGTTCATCATGAGTTTGAGGTTCTCTGGTTTGCTTATGTACTTGGTCATGATAGTGAAGTTGTGCCGGTCCAAGAGCAGCTCTCCCAAAAGCTAAGAGGAAACACAAACCACACATTAGAAATCCATAAACATGAAGTTACAGTCTGTGATTCTGTCGGAACCCATTCTGGAGCTTTACAGTAACACAAATACTCACAGAAAATACACAAACTAGTGGTCAACTTTTGGGGTCAATTATTGTTATTGTTTTAACACTAGAACTACACATTTTAATTGTGTAATTTGATAACTAAAACACACAACACCATAATATCTTGACTTTTCCTGAACGTGTGTATATTTTATTCTAACATTAAAAATGACAGAAAATTACAAAACAACTGAAAATGACAAAATAATCCATAAAAAAACATTTAAATTACAAAAGAGTTTTATTTCTACCTTGACTGAGGATAATGTTAAACTGCCTACAAGCATTTCAGCATCCGCTACTGTTTCTGTGCCTTTGAATGTGCCCCTCTGTTGCCTAGCAACTTTCTTCTAACAAAAACACAACATCCTGATAGAAAAAAACCCTTTACTTCAGACACGTCTTTAAACTTCAAAAATAACATACGCACTGCGGTGAAAAATACAAAATGAGGAACGCACTCTCGTGCAACTAGTACACAATTATAGACTACATTACAAAAAGATTTTATTTTTAAGATAACAATGACTTCATGAAACAAGCAGAAGCGGTTTAATTGGAGTGCGTGTTTGTTCTGCTTGCATGAACTAATTTAATACGAACCCGTCACCTGCATCCAAGATCGGAGTCTTGCAAACTGAACATTATCTATATGTTACTTTTACGCAATAGTTATGACAGAGTCAGACTTGTTAACTAAACTGGCAGTCCACATGCTGAGGCACAGATGACAGACATTCAAAGCTTAAGTTTTTAAATCTCAATCGAATCTTCAAATAAACTACATAAAACATATACAAAACGTTCATGACAGGTAGAATTATTCAGAAACACCACGATGGCCATTTCAAGTAGTTAAAGAATCCTGCTAGTTCCAGTGTTTTAGAGATGAACACTATAAAAGAAATTGAAGAGTAATCTTACAAAAGACTTCAAATAAATGTTGCTCTTTCAAATCTTCTATTAATATCAGTAAAAATATATGAGAATTTCCATTTCAATAAATCAGCCCAACTGTTTTCAGCTTTGATATAATAAGAAAAGCTTCTACAGGAGCAAAATGCCATGAATATACAGAGTAAAAAGTGATTAGTTACTTAAAGCGAGTAAACCAATTGCTTTAAAAGCAACAAGCTGACTTTACTTAAAAGTAACGTAAGTAACCCCATTGTAGGGCAGCACAAAATAAAATTAAGGGGGGCTAATAAAGACTTCCACTGTATATATGTACATATATACACACACAGTTGAAGTCAGAATTATAAGCCCCCCTTTATTTTTCTTTTTTTAACAGAGCAAAGAAATTTTCACAATATGTCTGATAATATTTTTTCTTCCGGAGAAAGTCTTATTTGTTTTATTTTGGCTAGAATAAAAGCAGTTTTTAATTTTAAACACCATTTTAAGATTTAAATTATTAGCCACTTTAAGCTAAATAGTTTAGTGATTGTCTACAGAACAAACCATTGTTACTAGCCTAATTACCCTAACCTACCTAGTTAACCTAATTAATCTAGTTAAGCCTTTAAATGTCACTTTAAGCTGAAGGGTCATGAAGAATATCTAGTCAAATATTATGTACTGTCATTATGGCAAAGAATAAATCAATTATTAGAGTTGAGTTATTAAAACTATTATGATTAGAAATGTGTTGAAAAAAAATCTTCTTTCTGTTAAACAGAAATTGGGGAAAAAACAAACAGGGGGGGCGAGTAATTCTGACTTCAACTGTACATATACATACAAACACATGACTTCTAAAGCAGCCTGACACCAAAAGCTGAAATTTTTGCTTTGCCTTGCATGAAACGTGCATTTTATTATTGTGGGATGTTCAACAGTTCTGCTGAACGCTTGATTTCAAAACCCACAATTATACTGATCAAGCACATAAATATAGGAAGCAATAGGATAAATCAGACAAACACAGATCTGCTGAAAGCACATACACTCTCCTTATATATCTCACTCAATACAGGCAAGCTTGCATAAACACAGTAACATGTTGTCAGCACTGAAACTGTTTAGTAAAAGCAATTCACTTGAAACAAAAGGCATTTCACAGCAGCGAGGAACAAACTTCACACTTAAACTTTCAGTTCTGATATAAGTAAAGCTGTTGCTGCCAAACGCTGTTGAAAGCAGCACAGATTCATGTAACTGACACAATTTACCTCTCTCTTACATAACAATGGCTGAAGGCTCCTTTACTAACTTAAAGGGCCATGACACCCCCCACTTTCGGTTAAAGTCTACTTCAGAATTTTTTCAAAAGATGCATGATTAATGGGCGTGGAGCTCCGCGAGCATCGGGCAGGAGTGGGCGTGGCCAGCAGGGGAGAGAACAACTGTTGTTGTCAGTTAGCTTACAAAATGAGACACAAACCGTGAGGAGACGCATGAGTTTATAGTTTACAGAGTTAAAATGCAAAGAAATGAACAGTGATTTAATGTCCTGCTACATTTGTTATTCGTAATTTCATAAACAGAAAACCACAATTTATATCATTATAAAGATAAATGTGTTCATGTAAACACTATAAATGAGGACTTCTCCCTTAATCCCCGTATCCAGCAGACTCAGTGCAGCATGTCTCCTGACCTGTCTATTTTAACCATTAGCCCTGCTGGTAATCTGGAGGATTTAGGCAAACACAGCAGCACGGCGATGTGTCTGAATGTGAACGAACTCCTGATAAAAGACAGCGTCCGCCATTCTCTAATTCTCGTGCTGCTCTCCCGACAAAAATGCTAGCAGCACGCACACAGCTTTGCTGTATGATCGGCCCTGACAAGATCGCGGGGGAAAACATGCAACAAACCCCGTGGATCATGGAAACAAACGCATATGAGCCTACATGAACGGCTAAATACTGTGCCGTGGTTTCCGTGTCTCTCAGCTCGGGCTTGACACTGGCAGGTCTGGCAGGTCTCATGAATAATTAGGCAGCCGGCTCTTCTCATAGGATAAGAAAACTCCGCTATGAATAATAATGAGAAACCGACGCGTCATCATTGCACTTGCAGTACTGCGCTACGTCGCCGATTTTGATCCCGCCCCAAAAATGATTTTAAACCCGGAAGCTGAAATTAGCTGACAAAAGCTCAAAATTATCCAGTTTTCCCCACAATTAAAGCTGACAGGTGCTAACATTGTCTTAACTGATGCTCAACACACACACACATCTTTTAATATAAAAAAAAAGTTCTCCGGGGTGTCCTGAACCTTTAAAAACGGGATATGAGATGCATGAGGTAATACATAAGTATTTAAAGTAAAAAACCTAGCAAGTGTCTAGCAAATAAAAGATAAAACAATTTAGTAATAAATCTGAAAATAATGCACAGCTGAAGTAATGACTCGTCTTCGAGGCACATTTTCATTACAGGCATGCATTATTTTCCTAGTGCATTATTTTATTTCCCAAACTGCTTTGGTCAGGTACTACTTATTTGTTTTTTGTTTTTTCAATTATAATCATAATAATCACGACCTCAGCACATCAAAAAACCCAAACCATCAGTTAATCCATTTTAAGTTCTGTCACAGATTGTATTGGACACCAAATAAGTGTTTTGTCTGTAAATGGCATATGTACAGAAATAGAGCCTATTGCTAACATAGGTCTATCTTGCAGGTTTGCACATATTTTGAAATCCAAAAAAAATCAGATCCTTCCTAACAGATCATGCTGCACAACTTTCAGTCATTTCAAGGCTGGAGTACTGCAATGCTCTTCTAGCTGGTCTCCCATCCTGCACTCTCAAGCCACTACAGATGAGAGTGCAGCTTGTCTGGTCTTCAATGAGCCAAAGAGAGGTTTCTAGTTGAAGCTTGGATCAAGTTTAAATCATTGATGCTTGCTTACAGGGCAGCCACTGGCACAGCACCCTCTTACCTCCACCTGCTCCTAAAGGTCTCCATCCCTTTTAGGAGCCTCCAGTGCTATCACAGAAAGGCTGTAAGTCACTTTCCAAAAATTTTTAATTCAATGATCCACGCTGGTGGAATGATCATCCCATTCCCACTCGGACTGCGGATTCACTGGTATCCTTCAAATGACAACTAAAACCCATTTCTTCAGAGAACAGTCCAACCACAGTGAATAAAACCACCTGAAGAAGCTCTCTCGCTCTCGCTCTCTCTCTCCTTCCCTCAAAAAAAAAAAACAAAAAAAAAACTTTTGCTCTAGCAATAAATACTCTCAGCACAAACAAGTTACTCTGAACAACTAGCGCTCAAGCCTGATTTATACTTCTGCGTCAAGTGACCGGCGTAACCCACGGCGCATGCAACGCTGTCTCTGTTGGTCTGCATTAACACTTCCGAAACGCTAGTTGGCAGTGAGGTGTAAATGTTCCTCTGTGTCGAGTTTCTTCGCTGCTTTTTTGCTTTTCCTGAACACTTCCGGGATGTATAAGTGGCTCAAACTCGCTAATTTTGAGGCAGCAACCGGCGGACGTGCAGCAACTTTAACTATGAGGTAAACACAAAACAAAACTTTCCATCCGGAGCTCCTTCACGGGACTCCACACTTGTAAACAATCGCTACATTGGGTTCGCGCCATTCGCGCGGCTCTCGGTCCCGCCCAGACTCGTCAGCGCTACCAAGCCGACCAATCACAGAGCTTGCGCTACGCGTTGTTGCGACGTGTAGTTACTTTTTTTTTAAGAGGCGCACGTCAGTGACAGCGACGGCCACGGCGAAGGGTTATGCGTCAGCGCTGTAGCATACGCCGGCATTTGACTCAGAAGTATCAATCAGCCTTCAGTGTGTGTATTGCCTCTTCTTGTTAATTCGCTGAATACCTCCTCAGTTGTAAGTCGCTTTGGACAAAAGCATCTGCTAAATCAGAGATTCTCAACTGGTGGACCGCGTCAAAATTAGTGGTACTCAGAGATCCTGCAGGTGGGCCGCAAGAATTAAAAAGGTTGAGAACCCCTGTGCTAAATGACTAAATGTAAATTATCTCTAAAGGTTGATTTATACTTCTGCGTCAAGCACACATGTATGCTACGGCGCTGACGCATAGCCCTACACCATGGCCGTCGCTGACATGCACCTCACAAAAAATGCAATTACACATCGCAACGACGCGTAGCACAAGCGCTGAGATTGGTCGGCTTGGTAGCACTGACGAGTCTGGGCGGGACCGAGAGCCGCGCGAGTTTTGTGTTTACCTCATTGTTAAAGTTGTTGCACGTCCGCCGGTTCCTGACTCAAAAAGAGCGAGTTTGACCCACTTGTACATACAGGAAGTGTTCAGAAAGAGCAAAACACAGACGAAGAAACTCGACACAGAGACACATTAACACCTCACAGCAAACTAGCATTTTGGAAGTGTTAATGCAGACCAACAGAGACAGCGCGCAGAAGTATAAATGCACAGCTACGCGCATTGCCTGCGCCATTGGTTACGCCGGTCACTTGACGCAGAAGTATAAACCAGGCTTAAACTACTACCACTGTAGTTTTTGTGCTTACCAACAAGTTGGAACGTACATATGGCATGGGAATGTGAGAATGTCTATGACAGAGATGATCAAAGTAGGGCCTGCAGGCCAAAGTTGGCCCATGATAATCTTTGATTTGGGCCGGGTAATCTTTTGTTTGTTTGTTTTATTGTTCAGTTAAAAAAAAAGCAAGCTTGAATTAAATGTTTTAATCAAATGTTGTAAATGAATCAGATTTATTAAATGGAAATGTTTGATTTCATTGTAATAAGCCAATTCTAAAATGTAAAAAAAAAAAAAATATATATATATATATATATATATATATATATATATATATATATATATATATTTTTTTTTTTTTTTTTTTTTCATTACTTAGCCTAATACGAATAAAGTAAAGCTTTCTATTTATTTTGAAATATAATTTTTTTTTAAATGAGGAAATTACCCATGGCAACTTTGTAATACAGTTTGATATATTTACCTTCGGCCCACAGCCCTCAGCTATGTTTGTTTTTTGGCCCTTTTTAAGAAAACGTTTGGGCACCCCTGGTCTGAGTTTTAGAAGAAACTTTCATCAATACTGTCTGAAATTTTAGGAAAAATATTAAAAAAAAATATTATAGAAATATTATTTTTCCTAAATTAGGAAACAAAGACAGATTCCTCCATATTCTCTATTTGTATGGTATTGGTTTTCTCAGTTTTATGATATAATAATGTTAGAACTTTCATTTAATGTATGAGGTCAAAAAGTGAGCTCACTTTCTGTTCTATTGTAAATGACATCTGGAAGATTATGTATGGCCTCTTATAAGGAAAATCAATTAAAAAAAATCAATCTAAAGTATTTTATTTGTTATTTTTATTTATTCTTATTATTTTTAAAAAATCAAATAAATAAATGCATGATGAAGAGAATAGGAGACTTCCTTCAAGAAATAAGTCCCCAAATGTTTGATTGGCAGAATAAGTCAACAACAAATTGTGCCAACACACAAACTAATAAATTAACTAGTGTCTTACCTTCAGCGACTGCCTCTTAGTAACATAATTTTCTGAGTGAAGAAGTTTCTCATATTCACTAAAGAACTGAAAAACAAAAGACAAAAATTTTTTTTAATAACTTTATACATATTATACACAGTAAACATACAATTGTCTGACTTTTTTTTTGTTCAATACAAGATTACTTGTATAGCGCTTTTCATTATTATTATCAATTCATAACATTTTTACAAAATGCATGTATTACATTACAATCAATTCAGAAAAGTCAGGGAGTTGGGTATAGGGTGAGCAGTATATAAACATAGTTATCCAGCAGTTATACTTTATATAGTGTCACTATATAAAAGGCCAAAAAGTGTGTATAATACATCTTCAACGAAGTGTGTTTGTGTCTTGTGTCATCAAAAATATACATTTTCAACAAAGATGTCTCATAATAAGTTGCTTGTTTTAATGGGTTTAAATGATAAGAACACTCAAAAATTCTGACAAAGGATTTTGGATACATGTTTATAATGTAAAAAACAAGGAACTAAAAATCCATTAAAAGATCAAGTATTTAATCGAGTTTGCCCAAGTTAAAGTTCTGGTGGCAATTATTGGCGATTTTAAAGCATTAAAGGGGATCTATTATGCAAAAATCATGTTTAAACACAGTTTTGTGACAACAGTGAATATAGAAGTGAATATAGTCAGCATCTCATGGTAAGAGTTAATTAATTCAATTTATTTATAATTACACTTCATAAAAACAGCCTGAAGAAACGCTTTGATTGACATTTCTTTCTTTGTATGTGTCATCAGAGGGGGAAAGTCCCACCTATTAATGATGATCTCTCCCTCATTAGCATAAACAGCCCTGAGTGAGAAGCAGCCAGCCACCATTAGAGATTTCAAGCTGTACTTGTTAAAGATAATGTCTGCAACTAAGAGGAGTTTTAGATGCGATCATAAATGAACACCCTAGTCTCCATAGATTTCCGCCTTCTAATACTCTTATGACATTTTATCAGTTATTCACATTAGTCCTGTTTTGAATCTGCCACTATGCTGACACATAGGCATTTATAGCTCCTCCCACTTCTGAAAAGAGCACAATCTCATTTGAAAGATGAAAAGGGTCAGTTTTAAAGAGTTATACAAATGATATTTTGAGCTGAAACTTCACATGCACACCAGAGACTTATTTTAAATCTTGTATAAAAAAGGGTTATAATAGCTCCCCTTAAAAATGCACAAGTGATGCTGAATGACTGACAGATGCAATCAGATTCAATGACAAGAGACAATGACGGAAGGCAAATCGATTCCACCGTGACTCACTCTGTCATAGTGCTGCTCCAGAAACTCGGCGCTGAGCACTTTGTGTCTCGTCAGCAAATCCTGGAAGAAAACCAAACAAACACCATTTGTCAGACTGAGTAATTACACAGCACACTTGAGGAAGAAATAATCAGAACTGCCACCCAGACAAAGCAAACACAGGGATACAGGAACGAGAGAGTGAAATTCAATACCTTTTAAGACGTTTTTAAGGCTTTTCATATATATTAAAGGTCCCATGAAATTAAAATTTTTTTAGATGCTAGCTAGAAAATGAATGAATAAATAAATAATACTCTTTTTAAGTCCACATGAACTGAAAGCTGCAACTGTTTTTTTTCTGTATTGTGACGCAGTTCTTAGAGAAACGCAATATTAAATGAGAAAACAGTAGGTGTGGCTTGTTTTCTCTACTGCTAGCTGATTGGTTGTAGTAAAGTAGGCATTTCATTCAGAAAAATCAGGAAAATGGTTTTAGAAGTTATTACAACCTAACAGACACCTCCTCTTCATTTATGTTTGTTGTCAAAACTGACAGTTAGAGGGGCGTGGTTAAGTATGTTAGCCACGCCCAATAGCTCAGACAGACCTAATCTGAGAATTTAACTGAAAGCAAACAGGAAGTGCATTTTCAGATTTTAATTTTAGATTACAAGAGCAAACTATTTTTCTTCTTAATGACCTGCACAGATTAATTGTTACCCACAAATCTAGCAATGTGAGCTAACAAAATCATATGGCTAGTTTTAATTTCATTTGTACTTGATTTCATTCGGGGCCTTAGATTTCTCTAAATTGATTTATCAACTTTTGATGCTTTTTAAGACCCCGTGGACACCCTGAAACAGAAATCTTATTAATTTTTTTTTGTCAGCATACTAACTTTAAAAGTGGCGAATGCATCAGAGGCGATGTCGAAGGTGGACATTTCAACATATCTGAAGAAATCGTAGAATTGTTCGGAGCAGAGGGTGATCTTGGCCAGCGGCTCGTGCCGTATGCATTCCCTCAACATGATGCCGCAGTTCAGAGCGATGTCTGGAGACTCGTAACTGCAGAAGAAAGGACTGGAATTAACATCAGAAACATTACACCAGCAATGTTTTGTTTACGTCGCTTGGTTCTTTTCAACTTTATCCTATTGTTTGTAAATATTGTACATACTGTGAGAGCAATAAATCTTTTGCGTTGCTAATTTGTCGTTTGGTGTTTTCTCTTGCCATTTGTCATCATCAGTTTATACTTTGGTCATCTTTATGTTACTCCTTTTAATTCCCCAGACATATTGCCATCAAGGATCGTGACAATGGTCTATAGGTGAATTCAATAAAACTAAATTGGTCGTAGTGTATGAGTGTGTGTGAATGTAAGAGTGTATGGGTGTTTCCCAGTACTGAGTCGCGGCTGGAAGGGCATCAGCTGTGTAAAACACATGCTAGAATAGTTGGCGTTTCATTCCGCTGTGGCGACCCCCTACAAAGTGACTAAGCCAAAGGAAAATTAATGAAATTTCTGCTAAAATTCTGACACAATGTATTACACAAAAAGCAGCTCACACATCTATTTTACTTCAATAATGAATGTGATTCATCCGTTCTTGACTCGAAATACTTTTATGACTCACTTGAAGTCATCTGAAGGCCAAGAGCCTTCAGAATTAGTTATTGGAAAAGCATAAACATGTGGCGAAATAAACTCATTTAGATGCTACACTGCTAATGCTTAGTCACAGGTTACACAGATAAGACGTAAATGCTTATCTGTGTTCAGATTGCTTTAGTTTTTGATATTTTAGTTTGAGGTTTGATTTCAACAAAAGACTCTATGATGAGGAAAGCAACCACACCGTTTTTTATGATACATTGAATGCTGAGGTGATATAAAGGCAAAACGATTAGCTCTCCCGTGACATTTGTATTTTTTTTTCAAATATTTCCCAAAAGACGTTTATCAGAACATTAAAGTTTGCACAGTACTTCCTATAATATTTTGTATTCCAGGGAAACTCTCATCTATTTTACTTTTGCTGGAATAAAAGCAGTTTAAGCAATTTAGGGTCATTTTTATTAGCCCCACCATATATACATACATACACATTTGATTGTCTACAGAACAAATCTCTGCTATACAATAGCATCTCACAAAATAAGAAGAAATTTATTAAGCACTGTCATCATGGCAAAGACATGTTGAAAAATAAAAAACGATAAAAAAAAAAAAATGTCTCTGCTAGAGGTGCAGAAAGTGATCTTCCACAATGCTAACAGCTTAGCATAAATCGCTGAATCACAGTCCCTCCCATGCCGCCCAGAACCACGCCTCCTAAAACAGGAGCACGGGCACCTTAAAGATGACAACAGAACCCTCTTTCATGCTTTAAAAGCGACTAGTGCTTGTTCGGCGGCGTGTAAGCTGTACCTACATGCTATTTCAGAGGGAATATTTAGAGTGGCATGGTAAACAATATAGGGAGAGACTAGGTGGAATAGCGGTATTTACTTATGTTTTGTTGTTAAACTAAATATAAATCTACATAATCGATGCTGTAAAAGGTCTCTTATGAAACTGAAAATAATCACATCAATCTTTCACCGGAAGATCTAGTGACTGAACAACACTGCAGTGCAGATATAACCCATTTGTAACAACAACATCTAACGTAATATCAGCTTAGCATGATGCTAAAATAGTTTTAAAACCGAACATTACCAATCTTAGAGAAATCCTTCAGACATAGTGTCATCCTTTCTCCAGCGTGCAAAGGTAACTCCAATATTGATTCAGGTTTTTATAAAGTTTCGATTCAGTTTACCGATTGTGCGCACGTTCTCGTTCTCTCGCTCTCTCTCGTGAACGCAGTTGTTAAAATCTGCATTTGCTGACAGACAGTTTGGGCTACTTATCGGAATTATGGCAGATGTCGGCCCGACTCTATTTAATTGGATGAACATTTTTTTAGTTTTATGCCTTACCCAAAATATAAAAATACATATAAACACATTTAGATCATTTACTTGAATCAATACTATTTGACTGTGAAGAGACTTTTAACCAGCATAACAAACGTGTTTCTGAAGACAATCACCTACTGCACCTTTAAGCAACACTTAGGAAATATGGTCACACTTTACAATAAGGTTCATTAGTTAATGTTAATTAATGCATTTATTAACATGAACAAACAATGAACAATACATTTACTACTGTATATGTTCATGTTAGTTAACGTTAGTTAATGAAAATACAGTAGTTCATTGTTAGTTCATGTTAACTCACGGTGCATTAACTAATGTTAACAAGCATGGACTTGGATGTTAATAATGCATTAATAAATGTTCAATTATGATTAATAAATGCTGTACATGTGTTGTTCATGATTAGTTCATGTTAGTAAATGCATTAACTAATGAACCTTATTGTAAAGTGTTACCGGAAATATTTTTTAAAACCCTGAAATTTCACTATTAAATTTTACTTTAATTAAGTGCATCCGAATAGTACTTATACTGCTTCACTTTTTCCACATTTTTTATGTTACAGCCTTATTACAAAGTGGATTAAATTAATTAAATTCAATACTTTCCCGATGCACTGTATACTGAACATAAAAATCCGATAAATGTCAATTTGTTTGTGTGTGTGTGTGTGTTTGTGTGTGTGTGTGTGTGTCTGTGTGTGTTACCCTTTAAGCAGCATGAAGAGTATATTTTGTTGAGTGCACAGATATTCAACAGTGGGAGTCCGTGTGCCGATCTGACGCCTCAGAATATTGTTAAAGATCTGGGCCACGTCTTTCTTGCCCTAAGCACAAACAACAAGAGAAATATTTACTGAAAACACCAAACGAATCAAAATACTAGCATGCACTTACACGGAAGGAAATTTGGGAAACATACATTTAAAATGAATTGCACTTAGCATTATAACTGTATATACGATTGCAAGTGGTCAGTCGATACATATGATAATATGCAAAGTTTCAACATTTCTCAGCTGCACAATAAAAAGCCATTTTTAATTAGATCCCATTGATGGGAACAGCTTATTCTAGATACCGGTTACTTATCGCTTGGAGTGCAAAGCATAAATTAAATTGAGTAAAATTTAAACTTATTATCTTACATTTGCTTCAGCATAACTGATGGTATTAGTATTTGATAAATTTAATCAAATCTAACATTATAATCACATTAAATTGAATATATTATTTAAATACTTTCAACAGAGGTTTTCACAAAACTGTTATTATAGGCAAAACAGGAGTGAAGTATAGGATACAGCACTGTTGGAACAAAACTGACGGAGTATTTTAAGCAGTTTTATTACACAGCTGTCTTTAATACTCGATCCTGATTGGTCAGTCCATCTTCACTGTCTTTCCCACATCTGGGAGAGTTATGTTGTGGAGAAGCCGCAAAGAACCCTACCACCCAGACTGTTGCATGCCCAGAGTTAAGCATGGGGGTGGATCAGGGATGGTTTGTGCTGCAATATCATGGCATTCCTAGGCCCAATACTTGTGCAAGATGGGCGAGTCACTGGCAAGGACTACCGAAACATTCTGGAGGACCATGTGCACCCAATTGTCCAAACACTGTATCCTAAAGGTGGCGTCATGTATCAAGATGATAACGCACTAATACACACATCAAGACTGGTGACAGAGTGGTTTGATGAACATGAAGGTGAAGTTGAACATCTCATATGGCCTGCACAGTCATCAGAGCTAAATATTATTGAGCCACTTGGTGTTTTGAAGGAGTGAGTCAGGAAACATTTTCCTCCACCAGCATCACATAGTGAATTGGCGACTACACTGCAAGAAGAATGGCTCAATATCCCTCTGGCAACTGTGCAAAGACTTGCATCCATCATTCTCAAGATAAATCGATGCTGTATTGGCCGCAAAAGTAGGCCCTACACCATACTAATGAATTATTGTTGTCAAAAACTAGCTGTTTCAGTTTCATTGCTCAACCCCTGTATTTTCAGCCTTTTTTTGAGCAAACATTATAAAGCAGTTTTCTGCCAAATTTTTTTGAGGGTGAAAATTCAGTGCTATCGTACACATCATTATTACACATCATGGAAGACGTAACATTCAGTTTTTAAACGTAAAAGTGAATAAACGCAAGTATCCAGAAAATATTTTAGGTCTTAAAGGAACTTTGTGCAACACATATCATTTTGTGGCATGTCCTGGCCTAGTGTATAATATTCATCCTCCCACCTCAAAGTCGATGAGCTGCAGATCTGCGACGAGTGTGCTGAGCAGGCCGCTGTTGTAGAGCTCCTGAGCGAGCTGAGCTACAGCTTCTGTCTGCGGCTCCTTCTCATTGGTACCATAGAGAATCTCTTTCATGGACAGCAGAGATTTGGACACTTCTTCAGAAGCCTGCAGATGCACAGCACAATCACGGTCAAATGTGATTTGTCACATACAGAGTTTTACAGAGTGCCGTAAAAACGCTTACACAACCACTCGTGACATTAAAATAACAATAACAACAAAAATAATAATAACAGTAAGAATCTAAATCTGGAGAAATAGAAGTTTTAGAAAACAAAAGCAAAAATAAACTACTTTATTTGCTGTAGAAAAAGCACAAAGTATTAAACAAACAGAAACAAAGAAGTGTTTCTAACAAAGTGCCTTAAGCATAAGTGAGGAAGGAGTGTATACTATAGGTCAGTGTTTCTCAACTGGTGGGTTTGGGTCACGGGAACATTTTCAGTGCGTCGCGGAGTGTGTGTGGTCAAAAAAACAACAAAAGTTGAATTTTTTACTTATTTTGCTTATACTGGACTTTTATTTTGAAATTTGTGCGCGACAACCCTACCGTTTGACATGTGAAATTTTATTTAATTACAGCAACAAATATGTCGAAGTGCAAGTACGACCCAAAATATGTCAAGTATGGATTTGTGACGACAAAAAAGCCTCAGTGTCACATGTAGTGAGGTGCTCTAATAAGAGAGCATGAAACCGTCTAAATTAAAACAAAATTTAAAAAACGAGACAACATGTTTTATTAACAGTTCAGTTTAGTTCACGGTAACTGAACATTTCCTTATCCTAACCACTGTTTACAGTATTTGTCGTTTTTACTTTGTAATATTTCTATGATTTGATCCATTTTGTTAAATGACAGCAATAAAATATTGTTTATTTGTCATAAGTCTTGGCGAATGTCTTATGATTTATCTGTCACTACTTGTGTATGTTAACAAATAAAAACAAAATTATTATAATTCCTAAAATTGTATTATAGATCCTAAAAATTTGGGTCGCGGCTTGATGACCATGTAAAAATGTGGGTCCCATGGTCAAACCAGTTGAGAACCCCTGCTATAGGTGGTCTGTCCCAGTCACCTGTGGAGTACACTAGCACTACGCAATATATGCCAATGGTGTGTGCAAATGTGCATAAACGTCCAAGAGTCTCCAGTGGGTGTTTAAAGTGCATGTATGTGCAGATGTGCAATGTTTAGAAGTGTCCATAAAGTGTGCAAAAAAAAAACACAGTTTAATTTTACCCAAAAACTACAAATTCTTCACCATTTACTGACATTCAAGTGCTTCAACACTTTTATAAATTTCTTTCTGATGTTGATCACAAATTAATATATTCTGAAAAATGTTGGAAAAAAAGCAGCCAGTGATATTTATAGTAAACACAAATTACTCAAGTCAATGGCGGCTATTCCCCAACAGTAGATCTTCCTTTGTTTTTACCAGAAGAAAGAAACTCAAACAGGAACAAGTGGAGGAGTAAATGATGACAAAATTTAGATTTTTAGGAGAACCATCCCTTTAATAAAACCCAAACAGCAATAAACCTGTTTGTAAATATGTGTGTAATACCTTCTCAGCTTTCTTGTCTGAAATGTCCTGCTTCTCCAGAATGGTCATGTTGTCCTTTAGATTCTTCACAATGTCCGCTGGACACTTGTGAGACTTGACGAAAGGGAACGGCATGACAAGACGTTACCAGAAACAAGTAGCAGAGAGGCCACCTGGAAAAGAAAATGAGAAACAGAGAGATGTCAAACTTAAATGCTTGTTAATGAACAAAAGAGTGATTCAAATAGATAAATAACAAATAACAGTATGTATAGCCAACAGCGATCTGATTGGCTGACGCTTCCGTCGGCGCTTGAAAAGTTGAGCAAGTCCCAACTTTTGCAGCGAGCAAAGCCTCTGAAGCGGCGCCGACGGATCCACAATGCACTTCGGCAACGCCTGACCTCACCCCGTCAAAGTCGAACATTGAAATTGTAAACACAGGTATTTTCAGTGGTCTGCCAGATTCACCAAGTTTCAGATTTGACCTTTACAGTTAAACTTTCAGTTTTAACTAAAGAGAGAACCTGTCTAAACACAACCAAACATGCAATGAAGCAGAAGGAGGAAGCAAGCAGATCAGAAGATAAAAAACTGGAATCTAAAGTAATCACAAACATGAGGCTCACAATGAACAGTAGTAATGAATTCATGTCATTATCAGCCTCACCCTAAATATATACAACAGGTAAACTCATGCACACTGTAGTAGTCATAATGTGCCCCGAGCTTGAACGCTTAAAGGCCCAAGGTGCTTGTTACATGCATTTTTCATTTCTCTTTGCTATTTGGGCTTATAAGAACCTAATTAGAATAAAAACCCGAGTTTTATCTTTTGATATGATGTACTTTTAGAAAAAAATTATGTCCATATGTGGACTCGTGGTATGAATTCACATAAACACTTTTTCCTGACTGTTTTGTAATGCAAACCTCAAGGCTCTGTTCTTGGGCCACTTCTCTTCTCCATCTACACTTCACCTCGGTTCCAGCTCGCATCTCAGCCTGCCTGTCAGACATTTCACAGTCCATGAAAGATCATCATCTTCAGCTGAACCTCGCGAAAACGGAAATGCTTGTAGTTTCTGCCAACCCGACTCTACACCATAACTTTTCAATCCAGATGGATGGGGTAACCATTACTGCATCCAAAATGGTGAAAAGCCTTGGAGTAACGATTGATGACCAACTAAACTTCTCTGATCACATTTCTAGAACTGCTCGATCGTGCAGATTCGCACTCTATAACATCAGAAAGATCCGACCCTTCTTATCTGAACATGCAGCTCAACTCCTTGTTCAAGCTCTTGTTCTCTCCAAACTGGATTACTGCAACCCTCTACTAGCAGGGCTTCCAGCTAACTCTATCAAACCTCTTCAGCTGCTCCGGAACGCAGCAGCACGAGTGGTCTTTAATGAACCTAAAAGAGCACATGTCACTCCGCTACTCATCCGTTTGCACTGGCTGCCAGTTGCTGCTCACATCAAATTCAAAGCTCTGATGTTTGCCTACAAAGTGACTTCTGGCCTTGCTCCTTCTTATCTGCTCTCACTTCTGCAGATCTATGTGCCCTCCAGAAACTTGCGTTCTGTGAATGAACGTCGCCTCGTGGTTCCATCCCAAAGAGGGAAGAAATCACTTTCCTGAACGCTTACGCTCAATCTGCCCAGTTGGTGGAATGAACTCCCTAACTGCATCAGAACGGCAGAGTCACTCGCTGTTTTCAAGAAACGACTAAAAACTCAACTATTTTGACTCCACTTCAGTTCCTAATCTGCAATTGCCTTTCTGGATATACCACTAACTGTACTCAAAAAAAAAAAATATTAATAATGATAAAAAATTACTTATGCTTTCCTTCTTAGACTTTACATACCTGAAACTTGCCTACAGCACTTATTCATTGTTGCTCTTATAGTTGTGTAAATTGCTTTCTTGTCCTCATTTGTAAGTCGCTTTGGATAAAAGCGTATGCTAAATGACTAAATGTAAATGCATATTTAACATCAAAAAATGTTTGAACATGTTTTGACACTCATATTTTTTCCCATTTTTGGACAGTTAAAAATAGTGTTTGGGACATTTCATATGCTGCAAAGCAATTGCAGGATGACATTTTGTCTGTAACCAAACATAAAACATTCAAAGTATTTTAAAATAGCCACCTAATAGCTAAAATGTGCTGTCCACATATGTGGCCACTAAGCCCTATAGGAGGTTAAAGGCACAGTCCAACAACCACAAAAAGATGTTCACCATTTACTCAAACTCAAGTGCTTCTTATATTATTTCTAATGTTGAACACAAAATATTTGTGTGCACTTAAAAAAAAAAAAAAAAACATCTTACTGCTTTAAAATGTTTAGTTGAATCAAGTTGAATCATCTCAAACTAATCTGACTAATTTATTAACTTGTTCAAATAAGTTAAAGCATTGTAAAAAGACTTGCTGTCATGACATTTTGTCATGACAGCATTTAATGACATTTAATGTTTTTAGATTGTGTATATATATCTTCCTTTGTATCCAAACAGGTTTGGAACAAGTTAGTGTGCATAAATAATGACACAATTCACATTTTTAGGTAAACTATCCCTTTAAAACAGTGTTTCTTAACTTTCTCATTCCTGGATGACCACCAACACAGAATGTTTTAGATATCTCCTCTCTCTGTCACACCCATTACAGGTCTTTCTGGCTGTGTCCGAAACCACCTAGGTTCTGTATTTAAATTTGAATGTACGACAAGGCTGTTGGAAAAGTGCATTCTATACAGTGTGAATGTCAGTAGTACGAAAGGAACTCGGATGTACTACATCCACCATTTTGTCATAATCACGTGACCTACCCACGTCAGTTGCGTTGCTTCACTCCCATTCAAGAGTTCTCTAGTGGATCATGGGATAGCGTAGCGTTCATCAGAAATGCACTTCAGAATCCCGCCAGAAGTAGTCGGTTATCCAGGTACTTCTCGCATACTGATTTTCGAAATTATGAATTTAGACTTACTACTTGCATACTAACAGCGTACTATATGTTTTTAGCGTACTATATAGTATGGAAGTATGCGGTTTCAGACGCAACCTCAGTCTCAGATGATCTGAATCAGGTGTGTTTTTGTTAAGGAGACATGGATAATGCAGAGCTGGTGGTCCTCCAGGAACATGGTTGAGAAACACTGCTTTAAAGGCATTCAAAAGTGTTGTCTGAAGTTACAAGTCAATCATTTTCTTTTCGGCTTAGTCCCTTTTTTAATCTGGGGTCGCCACAGTGGAATGACCTGCCAACTTATCCAGCATATGTTTTACGCAGCGGATGCACTTAAAGCTGCAACCCTTCACTAGGAAACATCCATACACCCTCATTCACACACATACACTACGGTCAATTTAGCTTAACCAACTGACCTATAACACATATCTTTGTACTGTGGGGGAAAGCGGAGCACCAGGAGGAAACCCACGCCAACACGGGGAGAACATGCAAACTCCACACAGAAATGCCAACTGACCCAGCCCAGGCTGGAATCAGCAACCTTCTTGCTGTGAGGCACTTGTGCTACGCACTGCTCGTTAATTTTCTATACTTTTTATTTTGTGAATTGTTAAGTACTATAGTTTCATCTTTTTAAAATCTTCATCATTTTTTTTTTTACTGAAAATGAGACGATTGCCTACATATTGTTTAATCTGAGGGTAAGCAAATGGGTAATTTTAGGGTTAAATATCTTTATATGACATAGAAAAAACAACTGACTGTCAACTGAGGGTGCAGATTCACACTTAATGTTCAAACACGTGCCTGGAACAACACAAGTGAGATATAAACAGGAAATGTGCACCAAAAAAAAAACTTTAATGAACAAGTGAGCATTCTAGTTTCCTCTATAAAGCACTACACAAAACACAAAACATTCTGACCTGAAGAGAGAAATCACTCATAAATGCAGCTGTTTTTACTTGATCCTTCACCAAAATGCAAATATTAGCATTATTATTATTATTAATGATAATAATTATTATTATTATATCATTAATTTTAGCTTTTACTCCATAAAGTACTCTACAAAACACTGAATCTCAATAAATAAGACTGACCCGCAGAGAAATCACTCATAAACGCAGCTGTTTTAGATGATTCTTCACCAAAATGCAAATGCTAGCACTATTATTATTATTATTATTATTATTACATCATTATATATTATCTATTCCTCCATTAAGCACTGCACAAAACACTGATACTCAAAGAATAAAAGACTGACCTGTAGAGAAATCACTCATAAATGCTGTCGTTTTTGATGATTCTTCACCAAAATGCAAATACTAGCACTATTATTATTATTATTATTACATCATTATATATTATCTATTCCTCCATTAAGCACTGCACTAAACACTGATACTCAAAAAATAAAAGACTGACCTGTAGAGAAATCACTCATAAATGCTGCCGTTTTTGATGATTCTTCACCAAAATGCAAATACTAGCACTATTATTATTATTATTATTATTATTATATCATTAATTTTATATCTGCCTCTGTCATTGTGTCACATATGCTTTGAATCCTCCATGTGGCTGGTGGATCTGTGCGTCACAGAACCATACGTCCAGCCGGTTAATCTCCACGCAGCTTGTTCAAGTTAGCCAAATCCTTGACCCGGTGACCACACTCGCTGCATCGTCTGCCCAAACACAAATCTGGTTCTGAACCCAAACAGATGCCACAGCTTGCTGGAACAGCTGACCGGCATGAGTTTACATGCAAACCCGAGCATCCTAACAATCCTCAAGAGTTGCAAATGATTCAACACTAACATAACGGTATTATTAATGAATGTTGACGCACGTAATATTCAATTTAATTCAATATTAAAAACAACAATACTACACTGATAGTTATTACTGCTGTCTTGTAAAAATCAACAATGTTATAATAAATCATGAATAAGGGAGAGCATCCAAGTTATTTATGTGTAATATCCAAGGTTTATCTGTGCATCCTAACATTACTTAGGAGTTGCAAAGGGTTAAACACTAACATAGTGGTAATATGAATGACCATGTTGACAGATAATATTCAATTCAATTGATTATCAATACTACAATTAAACTACTAACAACACTCTTAACTCTACTAACAATAGTACTAATCAACAATTCAATATTAACAACTCTACACTAATAGCTATACTGCTGCATGCTGTACTGTAAAAATCAACTATGTTTTAATAAATCATGAATAAGGGAGAGCAGAAGTTATGTATCTGTATTATCTAAGTGTTTTTTCTGTGCATCCTTACATTTCTTAAGAGTTGTAAATGGTTAAACACTAACATAATGGTAATATTAATGACTATGTTGACACAATATTCAATTCAATTGATTAACAATACTGCAGTTCTACTACTAACAATACTCTTAATTCTACTAACAATAGTATTCAACAATTCTTTCCTCCCCAGTTTGTGTTTAATGGAAAGAAGATTTCTGAACAATAGTTTTAATGATTCATTTCTAATAACTGATTTATTTTATCTTTGTCATAATGACAGCGCATAATATTTGACTAGATATTTTTCAAAATACAAGCATTCAGATTCAAAGTGGGATTTAGTGTAATTAGGCAGGTCATTCTATAACAGTAGTTTCTTCTGCAGACAATCAAACATATATTGCTTGAGGGGGCTAATAGACTTTAAAATAGGTTTTAAAATATTTAAAGATGCTTTTATTCTAGCCAAAATAAAAATAAAAAAGCCTTTCTCCAGATGAAAAAGATATTATAGGAAATACTGTTAAAATTCCTTGCTCTGTTAAACATCATTTGGGAAATATTTATTTTTAAAAATTCTCTGGAGCGCTAATAATTTTGACTTTAACAGTAATCGTTTTGAATAATCGTGATTACAATTATGACCAAAATAATCGAGATTATGATTTTTCCCAAAATCGAGCAGCCCTAATTCAATGTTAACAACACTACACTGATAGCTATTACTGCTGCATGCTGTACTGTAAGAATCAACAATGTTTTATTAAAGCATGAATAAGGAAGAGCATCTTAAGTTATGTATCTGTTATATAAGAGATTTGGTCATCTTTACTATAACTAGTGTATTTATTTTGGTTGCAAACACCTAGTTTAAAACTATTCACAATATCCTTCATAGGTTGTCTTTGTAGACTATTTTTTAATTACAGCAATTACAGAAATGCAGTTTGGTTAAGACCTTATTGTTTTGGAGTAACAATAACTTGAATTAAAAAGGAAAATGCTGTACTATACTGTGCATGCTGTACTGCAATAATCAACAATGTTATGACAATTTGAAATCCTGTGGGGAGAACCTCATAAGTTATAATATCTAAGTTTTGTTTTTTTTTCATTTTTACTATATTAGTATTTTTATTTTGGTTGCAAACACCTACTTCAAAGCTTTTCACATTGTGTTTCATGTTTATGTTGTCATTGTATACCATTTATTTAGCAACATTTTTGGTGGTTTGTGGTCATTTTTACTATTACTAATGCTAGTTTTATTTTGGTTGCAAAGACCTAATTCTACACTTTTCACTTTATTTTTCATATGTTGTCATTGTATACAATTTATTAACAGGGCTCAACAATAAGGACTGCCCGGTGGCCCGGGGCCAGCGTGAAGGACACTCGGGACAGTAGACAGGATTGTTACTGGCCCCTATCGGCCAGTAACGATGAGCACGTTTTATTTTTTTTTTTTTGTAACCTGGTAACAACCAGTAAAGCGAAAAGATGGCAACATGCCAGCAAAATTAAACAATGAGGCTAAAAAAACATCTGTTTCTAAAGCCTTAGAAGCAGACAATTACATGGGTACAAAATTAAGAAACTGAAAAAAAGAACAAAACAAAAAAAACAGTTGTCAGTTTGGCAAGCCATTTTTATAAAAATTATTTAGAATTGCATTAAAATACCAGCACATTTTTCATACTGCTCTTTCATTTGCATAAAATCTTGACTTTTGCTCATCATACATGTATTAACATATTTAAAATGTTTAAATTCTAGATTCACAGGCATAATTTTGCCACTATTTAAAATATGTGGCTAAGAAATAGCTATTAACTTTTTAGTTTTTTTGGTGGGGCCAGTGAAAATTTTGGCAGGGCAAGTAAAAATCTTAACCAATGGCCCGATTGGACCTGTATAAAAAATCCTTAGCGTTGAACCCTGATTAATTCAATTTTTTGTTGGTCAGTAATATATTAATAAAAAATAAGTACAGTTTGATTAAGACCCTATTGTTTTACAGTAACAATAAGTTGAATTGAAGAGGAAATATTAAATGATGCACTGTAAAAAAAATGCCACAAAATTCATTCATGTTGTCTCAACACAAATAGATTAAGTAAAACTTAATTGTTCATACAAATTTAAGTGGATTGAACATAATACAATTAAGTTGTTCCAAAAGAATCTGAAGAATTGAGTTGCGTTAGCTCATTTTAACTGAGTAGTTTGAAAAAAAAATATTAAAAAGTGTATAAGGGTAAAATTTAATTAAACTGAGTTTTTCTATCAATAGAAAGATAGATAGATAGATAGATAGATAGATAGATAGATAGATAGATAGATAGATAGATAGATAGATAGATAGATAGATAGATAAATCATTTTTAAAAACTGCATTCAATTCCCTCAATTCTGATATTCAGAACGCACCTTTATATTATTTAACGACTGAGGCCAGTAATTACAAAAATATTTGACTAGAAAAGCATTACATGCATAACAATATAAATATTAATGCGTAACATTTAAAATCCTTATCAAGTAAAAGATTCAAATCAGATTGCTTGAAAAGGCCTAGCCTGCATGTCTGTGTGCTGCTAACTGCAAGCATTTTCATCAAATTCACCAAAGACTGAACAGCAAAATTAACCCCCAATGTAGATAATACAGCAAAAGCACAGCAATGCATTTTACAGTCAATATACACACTGATATCTTCCAAACTATGAATATCAACACATCCTGATGCAACATAACTATGTAAATTTTGAAGTTTTTTTAAATTATTATCTGCAGCTCGTGTTTAAATGTGAACTAAACCCACATGCAGAACTCTGAACATCACACTGATTGTGAATGACTGAGGGGTTTCTTTTATTTGTATCTCAAGAATACCAAGCAGTCGACCTAAAATCATCTTATAATGCCCCTAAAATAAGAAATCAATACTTCAAGCATGCGCTGATGACAAAAAAAATCAATGTCTGTGTAGTTAACTCGCTATATTTGAGACACAACCATCTGCTTTTGCGCAAGCAGAGGCTCAGGGTGATGGATGCAGATAATCAGGCCTCCGGTTGTTTATGTTAAGTTTATTTTAAACAAACGATGTGCAAACCACAAAAGATACGAAGCCACTTTACACTCACCCCTCTCCATACTCGGACCGTGCAAGCGAAAGCGTTTGTGGTTTTGCAGATGATGGCCCCTTCTGATAGGCCTCTGCATGCACTTTACACCATTTAGCTTCACAACAAAAGACAAGTAAACAACATCACACCTGTTTTGGGTCTCCTTCGGCCTTCTCTAGCGTAGAGCAGTGTAAATCCTGGATAATGATGATTTAGGGTGTTATTTCTTAACCAGATTTGTGCGGACAACTGTGTGTATGCGTTTGAATGTGTGTGTATGTGTGTGTGTGTGCGCGAACAGATGCGAGAACTTCCGCAAACCTGCAGTGAGGAGGATTTCAAAATAAAAGCCCACTCTCAGACGTCGCTTGGTGCTTTCCAAAAATCAAATTAACTTTGTAACTATTAGAATTATCATATAAGTATAAGTACATATAAGTAGTTAATAGTTACAATAAAAAACAACAACATCATGCATGCGTTGTGACCCCTGGAGTAATGACGTTGTATTAACTTTTACGGCAGTCACATCTAAATGACGTTGAGTTGTTTTTTTATCCCAATGGTTGAGTTAAAATATTTGGTGCTTTGTTGGGTTATTTTTAACCTTTATTTGGTTATTTATTAATAGCCTAACTTGTAAGGTTAAATGTTTGGTGCTTTGTTGGGTTATTTTGAACCTTTATTGCATTATACAGATCACAACTGAACATGGTGGATGATCCAAAATAAATCCAAAATAAATCAAGAATAAACTAGGGCCTATTGGTGTGTGTGCGCCATTGCATGCAATGTATAACCACCTCAGAGCATATTGGGGGTCACAAGTCACTGGTATTGCTATGGCTTGGCAAAAAAGTTTGGGAACCCCTGCTTTATACGATAATGTATTTCTTTTTTTAAAAAATAAACTCTCTTGATACTATAACAAAACTTGAAACAAGCTTTCAAATTATGAATTTGATTATTCAAAAAATTGGGAATACACTACATAATATATATATATATATATATATATATATATATATATATATATATATATATATATATATATATATATAGAGAGAGAGAGAGAGAGAGAGAGAGAGAGAGAGAGAGAGAGAGAGAGAGAGAGAGAGAGAGAGAGAGAGAGAGAGATAATCTGCTGGTTTTAAACATACAAAATAATAATAAATACAGTTATGTAACAACCATAACATTACCATTATGTCTCAGGACATCTTTGATTAACTTTTTATTACCTACACCAAATATTGACTAATGAAGGTACACTTATAACAACCATTTATTTTTTTATGAAAATAATCCACTGAAAAAAGGTTTTAAAACCAAACAGAGTCCTCTGTCGACTTCGGTGGGACTATAATCTGATGTAAGAGAAGTCTTCTTTCACTACTGTATTGTTTTTAAACAGAGAAAACGTTATACAGGGAACTTTATTCTAAATCTTGGAACTTATTTGTGAAATAAAAATGAGCAATAAAAAGGTGTGAAGCACCAGAAGCGGACCATATTAAATTAATTTTACTATATTTTGGCCATTGTTGATTTCCAGGAATTTTCATATTTTTTTTTTTTTACCAAAGAGACTAGAATAATTCTGAGGAATTCATTATAATAATAATTATTATGTTTTAATTATTATTTTTTATTGAAATGGCCAAATTGTGACTGAGGACAGTTGCATGTGCTGGCAAGTTAGTTTTTTGGCAAATAAATGACAGTAGGCCACAGTTTTTTTTTACTTTAAAACTTTAACAGATTGCTATTTTTTCCTAATGATATATGATGTAATAAATTTGTATTTTAAAAATTAGTCTTCTCTTAATTTTAAAAATAAAAGCCGATGGCTTTTTTTTGCATGTTGGTTTTTTATGTAAAACTAAACTACTATTATTTATCTTCTTCAGAATAATAATAAATAAAGTTATGTAACAACCATAACATTACGATTATGTCTTAGAACATCTTTGATTAACTTTTTATTACCTACACCAAATGTTGACTAATAAATGTACACTTATAACAACCATTTATTTGTTAGACTACTTTATTGTCAAACTATGTTGCATACAAATGCATTCAACAGACTTATATGACAGTGTATTGCTGTAAGGGACAAACAAAACACGAGACAGGGGTTTAGAAAGAGTATAGTTTATTTTGTTTGACCTGCAAACTTATCTAAACAAGATAAACTTTCAGAAAACATCACAGAAACATTATAATGCGCGCGCTCATCAATATAACCCGCGGTTGTCTTCAACTGTTGTCTTCAATAGTCCTTCTTTGCTCAACAACACAGCTGAAAAACAAAGCAAAACATTACAACAGCCAGACACACAGTTAAAACATTACAGTTGCCATAGTTTCTATTTTAAACTATAGTAAACTAAAGTTTGAAACTATAGTTTAAAATAGACGATGAGTGGGCCTCGCTGCTCCCATCCACCATAACCCTTGCAGCGGGGTCCCACTACCGGCCTCCCGTGTTTCGCTGAGGGTCCTCAGGGCTTGTTTGTTCCCTGCCTAGGGCTCAAAAGCGCCTCGCCCCAGGGAGTGCTCGAGTAAACCGTGCGCCAGGCCGTGCCACTACAACACAGACGGGCCCGAGTGAAGCTTCACGAAGCGGACTTCGTGAGATTGGCGTGGCTCCACTCGTACCGTCGGTATTGAACTCACCTTGGTCAAGTACAAACAGCAACACCGAGCGAACTGACCACACTGAGAGAACCGACGAGCTTTATAGGAGAGCGGATGCAAATGTTTACAATGCGACGTCACTGCTGTGAGTCTCGTTGTCAAGGTGAGCGCTGGAGAGCACACCTGATTGGAGCACACAGGCACGGGAATTTCCGTCTCGGCTGTGGACAAAAACATATTAAATATATTGAATATATATTTTTACATTGTTGGTGCTGTGTAATATTCTGGGATGCAGTAGAATATGGAGACAGATTAATATAATTAAAGACAGATGCGGGACATTAGAAAAGAAAGTGAGCCCGGCTAGAACACACTGCTCTCTGACCAGTGACTGACAAACTCCTAGTGGTGGTGGTAAGCTTCTTATTACCCAAGAACGCCATCTAGCGGTCATATAACCTAATAGCATGTTACTTGCTACTAACCACAAGCCATGGCCAAATGGTCCAGCATTTGTCCTTTTAATTTTATATAATTTAATATTATATGATATATTTTTTATATAATTAGTATAATATATTCATATTCAATATATATTACCGTCACACCTGTGTTTATGAGGCTGTTTGCTCACTTCATTCGTTTTATTCTGATCAGATATCAGATCGTTCAAACCATTTCAGAAGGTGATCTGGGATGCATTCCAGATGAAACTGGACAGGTCTAATCTTTTTATAGACAAAATTAATATAAACAAAATAAATTATGACCTGAAGAAAATCTGACCTGCGCCTAAAACACCTGTAGGTGCGCTTTTACAGCCAAAATTCTACTAAAACATGTTCACTATAAGCATAAAACATGTTCTAACCTTTCAGGCCTTTAGCCGGGGGGTTCAGAAGACCCACCCCTCACTGAAAAAGGTCCAGAATTTGTCTCATACATGAGCTCATTTGTCCTATTTTGACTGCCATGCCATCATAAATAATGAAAATAATCCACTGAAAAAGGTTTTAAGATCAAACGGAGTCCTCTGTCGGCTGTTGCTTCGGTGGGACTATAATCTAATGTAAGAAAAGTATTCGATCTTATTATTTATTTTTTTTTAAAGAAAAATGAGCACTAAAAAGATGTGAAGCACCAGAAGCGGACCATATTAAATTCATTTAAATATATTTTGGCTATTGTTGATATCTGGGAATTTTCAAATGTACTTTTTTTCCCAAAGAGACTAGAAAATTCTGAAGAATTTATAATAACAATAATAATAATAATAATAATAATAATAATAATAATAATAATAATTATTATTATTATTATTATTATTATTATTACTATGTTTTAATTATTATTTTTTTATTGAAATGGCCATATTGTGACTGAGGACAGTTGAATGTGCTGGCCAGTTTGTTTTTTGTTTAATAATTTTTTTTTTCAGTTTTTTTTTTTACTTTAAAATTTTAACAGATTGCTATTTTTTCCTAATGATATATGATGTAATAAATTTGTATTTTAAAAAATGTGTCTTGTTTAAATTTTTTTATTATGATATTTTATTATGACATAATAATAAATTATTATTTTATTTTTTATTGCTATTTTTCAGGAAATATTTTTAGTATATCAAAAAGTGTTATGATGACATCTGACTAGTTATTCCAGCAAAAAAAATCACTAAAATGCAGAATTTAAATCTCATAGGTAAATAGAAACTGAGGCGTATAACTGCAAAAAGGTCCACTTTTTGAGAAAAAAAGAACCACCCCTTTCACCAGGCTGCCTACGGGCCTGTATCACATACAGAATAAATAACATACACCATAGACACACACATATATTATGTCAAAACAAATTTTAATTTGGAAGCGATTAATATTTGCCCAGCACTAACTTTAATATTTAATGTGAGCACCGTTTACTAACTCCTGTTTACACTGATTTTCTGAAAAATAAGAGTAACAGATGCGTTAAAACGAGGACACAGAAGAAAAAGTATGACTCGAAAATATGTACAGATGCATAAGGATTTCAAATATCAGTAGGGAAAAGGATTAGTGACGAAGTCTCGGTATATACAGGAGAAATGATTGCACTTTTATTAGCAATACAATGGGTAGATGAGATAAGACCTTTGAAATCAGTCATCTGTTCAGACTCAAGTTCTTCACTGGCAAGTTTACGATATAGTAATTCAGAAAGTAGACCAGACATTTTATTATAAATAATGCAAGCAGAACTCAAATGATGGGAATAACTGTAATATTTTATGCATATTGGTGTTCAAGGAAATTGCAGATAAGGAAGCAAAACAAGCTGTTAAAAATAATGAAGTCAGTCTGTAAGTATAGTGCTACCCTACAAAGGTTTTTTTTTTAACAAAAGTTTATTTCTGAAGATTTTGATGTAAATTTCTCCTGTGATCACCAAACTGAAGATCTGTCTCATCTGTTTTGGAATGAATATTTTGGAAAAATGCATTAGGTATATTTAGTGGTATAATTCCTGATGTTATGTTAAAATATGAAAATGTTATTTTAGGATATAATCATCAAAATGAACATCCAGATGCTTTTTTATTTAATCTTATTATATTTTTGGCCAAATATTTTATACACAAGTGTAAATTTTGTAAGCATAAACCTTTCTTTCAGATTTTTCTTGAAGATCTAAA